AAAAAAAGAAGCGGGCAAATCCGTTAACCAAGAAATTGGTGTGGCCTTATTCATTATTATAATAAAATTCTTGAAGCCTGGCTAGAACCTCTTATGTGAGAGGTAGCCTGTGCTGTGTGGTAGATATTTCTCAGTTTTTATGACTTAGATTGTGAGTCAGGCTGCAGTCAAGGTGCTAGTGTCACAGAAATGAAAAGTAACCTACAGTGGGTGTCACTGGAAGACAGAAAAAAGATGTCCAGACTGTGCATGATGTACAAATGACTAATAAACTGGTGGACGTCCTTAAGTACCTAATACCAGCCCAGAAGGGAACAAGAAATAGCCATGCTCAAGTACCAGTTATCAACCAAGGATTGAGGCGTTCAAGAATTCATTCTTTCGTAGAACTATGGCTGAGTGGAACTCGCTGTCACCAAGTACAGTAGGAGCATTATCATTAGATAGCTTTAAACAATGTCTAGAGTTAGATGTCCAAGGGCTAGCTGTAAAAAGTTGATCAGTGTAATGTCAGCCAGCTGCCGCCACGTCGCGTGCCTGTGAAGCTGGTGTGTTATGCTGAAGGGCGGTTATACCGGCTATACAGATAGATACAGACAGAAGTTAACCCCCGCAGATTGCTATACGAAATAGGGCTAATCACATGTAGAAAGAACCATAACTTTGTTTTTTAATAGATTTTCTTGAACTCAAGCATATTCGTTTTTTGCTAGTGCACCCAATCATAATTTTAGTCAAACTTTTAAATCTAGTCGAAGTGAGTCACTGTGGGATGAGCTATGGAAATCCCATTTGGGCAGAAACTATGTTCTGTTTCCCGTCTAGGGAGAAAAACATGCAAAAAGATACAACACAAGACTAAGTATACTGTCATGTCCTTGGTGCTGAAGAACCATCAGGCAGGAAATGTCACCATTTTTTGTTATTTTAATGCCTGCCCAAATGGAAATGAAGGATTTTTTGTTAATTAATCAATGAAATACATGTTTCTGCAACTTTCCTGGCATTTTTCCAAACCTTTGTGCTTGTATGAAGAACCAGGGCAAAGATAGTGCTTATTATAATGGCTTGTCTGTGTTTTGCTGCAGTGCCCCCTTGTGAGCAATATTAGTACTACACTCAGCTCTGCAAGCAGCTTTGGCAATAAGACTTTCAAGCAGGTGACATAAAAGGACCACATACCTTCACCAAATGATGTTAACCTTTAAGGATTATGTGTTAAAGGCTTCTCACTGTATATGTAAAGGTCATTTGCATGAATTACTTTGTATATCTGTTCATAACCTTCTCTAATCTCCACCAATCTTTAACATGCTTTCCCAAGGGCACAACAATGGCGCCTTCCTGGTATTCGAACCCACAACTTTCAAATTCTTGCTGACTCAACAACCCTTACTGCAAGACCTTCTTGCAGCCTACATTTGTATTGACTTCATTGATAGATAGGAGGTCACAGCACAAATAAAACCATCGCAAATATGGTATCAACAGCAGACATTTGATGAGGACATTATTTGTACACTTGAGGTCGTAAAACGATAAAATTTGCCTATTTAGGTGTAGGTACTGTGTAAAACTGATCTCAAGGCAGATCACATGGTGGCAAGGCAGTGTCCATTGGCCAGAGAAGTGTCCATCAAACACTGAAGTGGCTGATGGACTCTGTTTAACATGAGTATAGCAAATACAACAATGTGGAACAAATATGTATCACATGTATTATTATGTGTATTATTACCATTTGTATCATCTGATTGTAAACCCTGCATGTATTCAGCACTATAAGGCTGCGATTGCACGGGTGATGTTTGGCCAATAAACCATTTATTATGCAGCTGAAGTTTAAACTGTAATTTCCAACACAAGAAATTAGACGAGGGATTAAAGAGGCCATCTACATCAGGGCATTACAACCATCCCTCAGCAGAGACGGGGGGCGCCACAGACTTTTTGCAACCTATGATCCACTGCTCACGGAGTCACCTGTTATCTGCGTGATGTCATGGAAGTGGTGGATTGGTCATTCCTTGACAAAGTTTGGGTGAGTCCAATTTCTTGTGTTGGAAATTAGTTTAAACTTGCTGCATAATGACTTCTACCAACACAGATGAACTTTCAAGATAAAACCATTTATTATTTAACTTGGAAAGGTACTTATTTGGAAATGTAGGCTCTTGTTATTCTAATGCAAGCTTGTATGGATTTGCAGTTTTCATAACTTGGTCACTTGATCAGCCAACACTTCACAGGTTTGATAAAATGTCAGCTTCTTGAAATCCTGTAGTGAGCTAACTACATGTATGTCACAAAAGCCCTGGTATAACAGGAAAGGCAGTGTAGTGTTTTTTCTTCCTCATTACCTCTGGTACGTGTGACTAAGATTGTTTGTTTAGGATCTCCATTAGTGTGAATTTCACTTTTCTTCCTGGATTCCATAGTGAATCATTAGCCAGTATTACTTAGACCATCGCATCCCTACTCTTTTTCGAAGGTGTGGTGGGTTCTTTTAACGTGTGTGGGGTGTGGCTCTCCCCAAACACAGAACCTCCATTTAACGTCCTATCTGAGGGACGTCCCTAATTAAAGCTAGGAAGCTAGTGAGGAAAGTTGTGTAAAGTGCTTTTTCCAAGATCGGTAAAAAGGTAGGGTTTGAATGCAGTACCTCTTGGTTCTGAGCTGAACACGCTACCGCTATGACACACAACCCTACTGTGTCATTATGCATTCATTTTATGTTGTGCTATCAAAGTTCAAATTGAAAAAGTTTGAGGGATGAAAACTGGTGAAAGCGTGTGTGTGTGTGTGCGTTCGTGTGGTTATATTGGGAATTCTCTGTACTTTCAGGGCAGGTATTGAACCTGCATATACCCAGTACACAGACCAGTGCAGGTAAGGTACAGGTAGACATCAGAAATTCCTGCACAGCTCCAATTTTACCTTCACTAGCCTGCATATACATGTACTCAGTACATGGACCAGTGCAGGTTAGGAGCAGGTAAACATCAGAAATACCTGCACAGCTCCAATTTTACCTTCACTAGCCTGCATATACATGTACTCAGTACATGGACCAGTGCAGGTTAGGAGCAGGTAAACATTAGAAATACCTGCACATCTCCAATTTTACCTTCACTAGCCTGCATATACATGTACCAAGTACACAGACCAGTGCAGGTTAGGTGCAGGTAGACATCAGAAATACCTGCACAGCTCCAATTTTACCTACACTAACCTGCATATACAGTACCCAGTACTCACTGTCCGGTTTATCGTCTGTTGTTCCCCGTCTTCCGAGGGTTAGACGTGCTTGCACAATACTTCTGGGGCTTGTGGATTCTGGACCAGTGCAGGTTAGGTACAGGTAGACATCAAAAATACCTGCACAGCTTTCCTGCATATGCAGATGGTTTTTCAAACCCTGTGAATGCATCAGTTTAGATACTTTTGGAAATGGGAAGGTGGGAAATACATGTTAAGACATCTAAATTGAATGCTGGTTTTCCACTTTTGTGTTTAGAAGACAACAATCAAAACACATGAAACTCACATTGTAGAGAGAAAAATCAACTATATCAATGTTCTTGGTACATTGTATAATATTGTGTGAAAATTCTTTATAATAGTCTAAAGTACTCTGTGTCACAGTGAAAACAGAGACACTTCAATCTTCAGAAATGGTACATGGTTGGGTTGACAGTCATGGTTCTTGTGCCTAATGACTTCATAGACAGGCACTAATTCATGCTCTCCACTGGACCCACCATTGAAACAACCAAAATATGCACATTTCAGCTATTTCCACACTTTCATTTTGTTTGCATAAAGATTTCTTCCTACACATTTCATTGCAATATATTCCCATTGAACATTCCTCCCTTATACATACTCAATGTACTAGCTGAAAAGTCCCCTGTACATGTCTATAATGCTGTACCTTTATAACATATGTTTTTTGGAACTTTTACAAAACCATAAGATACATCTATGTATCTGTTGGAAGAAGGGATAGTACAACAGCATTTCATCTACAACTATTAAGCATACCCTGGCAGATGACTATGGAAACAGTTGAACTTTAGAATTAGCTACCATAGAAGTTTCTGTATGTAAGAGTCTATACTGATTCCTGCACAAGAAGTGTCTGTATGGTTTAAAACAAATCATTCTGAGAATGACTAGAAATTGTTGTGTTACCAGAATAAGAATACAGTGGATTAATAAATTCTTTCATTCAACACAAACTCCTGTAAAAACATGTGCACAATGGCAAGACAGTCATCTTTAAGGAACCAGATGCCTTGAAGTAACATGATATCCAAGGAACCATATGTTGAACAAACTTGTACAAAATGTGGGACCTTAAGGCATGCAGTTCAATTTCAGGGTGGCAAAACCGGATTCTCAAGGTCAACTTTCTGGTCATTCTTTTAAAGTTTATTGTAGTAAGTTGAATCAATCCTATCCCAAAGCATATTAATATCTGTGAGGCAAAAATGTGAAGACTGATGAAAAACGGTTTCTTGTTTTGTATGGTTGGTTCTAGATATCTATTGCTGGTACTCAAAAAATTATGCAATGCATCTCATGTAGCTTGTTTTGCGGCTATTTTAAACGCTTATAAAATAGTATAAGATGATGAAAAAAAAGTGCTCAGAAATGGCAGTAAATGTTAATATAATATAATATGTCAATCAAACAGATTTCCTCATCAAGAACATTTTACCACCCTGAGCTTGCCTTGGATACCTTTAAGCCCTACACATGTAGATTGAAGGTATGTTGTATATAGGATGCTGGTGGAACTACAGATGTTTGGGCCTGTATAACTTGACCCTGCGGCGCGAGGCCGAGCTGCTGAGATGAGACACCACCTGTCTCTCCGCCGCGGGCTGCTGTCTCTCCGCCGCGGGCTGCTGTCTCTCCGCCGCGGGCTGCTGTCTCTCTGCCGCGGGCTGCTGTCTCTCCCGCGGGCTGACATGATCCACGTCCAGCTTTGGGCCTTTGATGACAATACGGTTCATGGAGTGGAAACTGCCATGTCTGGAGCTCGAATCTGGAAGTATGAAAAAGGTAGGTAAAGGTACACTTACACATAGGGACTGTGGGTTGTTATCCATTGTGTATTGGGCACAATATTGAAAGGATGATCCCTCTCCTTCCACCTCCCAAACTAAAGTCAGGTACCCATTTTTAAACCTGGGTGGAGTTAGGAAAGCCATGCAAAGTGCCTTTCTCAAGGACACAATATCAATGATCTGACAGGATTCGAACCTAGGACCTCTGGGTTCTGTGCCATCACACCACCCTACCTGGAATTAATCAGTAGAAAAAAATCAGGAGTTCAAGTTTGATGCCCGGTTGGATGCCTGGCATAAAATATGCACATATCTATTTTTGAAGCACCAATATTCGACAATCTTATAGATACAGGTACAGGTACATGTACCTTTCATATGCAGGTGCATGGCTCTGACTGTACCTAACAATTTTACAAGTTCAGGCATTCCTAACATCACATATTCTTCTTCATCATCATCTCTATATCTTCTGCCATTTGGGCAACACAGCTTTGTCACGCAAAAGATGCCATCTTCTAGTTTCGTTATGTAATCTGCTCCAAGGTGCATATGGTGTCATATATATGAGTCAATGCAGAAACCATCAACACAAGACTTCCAACAGATTCTTTCATCCACTTTTATATATATAAAAACAAAAGAGAAATCTGGATTACAGCGTTGAGTAAGCCACATTGCTCGTTCATCTCCATGTATTTAGTTGTGCCAGTCTGCTGTACCTGAATGAAAGGTGCTCCGTCTGTGGTCTGTACTGTCCCTGTTGTTCTCCTCTCCTCTGTCATGATTGACGTGGACCATCTGTACCTCCGTGTTGGGGCCCAGGCGGGGGGCATCATCACGAACACTGCAGGTACAGAGGGGTGCATTATTCAAGAAATCAGCATAACAAGTACAATGTACATGTTCTCTTCACTAGGACCAGTGCTCTGCCAGCCGGAATTTTTTCTGTCATCTCAATTCTGTTTGACATAACATCATGTTGAGCGCCTGAGGCACAAGGGGTTGTGGAGAGGGTGCGATAATCTCAGGGGGGTTGGGGGGCATTTTGAAATCTTGACCCTCTGAAATGAGATTTCCTGTATTTTGAGGGGTAAATTTTACTGGTAGACCATACAAGCTTTGTTTAATGACATCTCTTTCCATATCTTTACATGCCGATTTTTGTCCATCAAAGATGACAGATTGGGCAATTTTTTAAACATTATGAGCAGCAAAATTCCGTGAAATGACAGAAAGATAGACACTGGCTATAACACTGCTTTGGACACAAAAATTCAGCAAGACCCTTTAAACTAACTAACATAAAGTTCAATACTGTTACAGACCGAAACCCTGACCAGAAAAGAGTGGGAGGACCTATTATTGGACTGTTAAAAAACTGTCGCCTAACAAACTACTGCTCTATTCATTCTTACTTAAACACATTCACACAAATGCATATCTGACCAGCCCCTCCAACTTTGTCCTGCCACTTGCCACAAACATAATGTAACCCAACACTAGTTTTTATAATAGCATCTGTTACCATAATGATAGTCACCTGGTCCAGATCACTGACCATATTTAGAAACAGATAGAGCAAGAACAATATAAAGATATACATTGTAATAACATCATTACCAGTCAGACTTCAACTTCAAAATAAAAATCTAAGACCAACACAGATTTTTCTAAGTCCCCATTCCATGTTTTCTGTGAGAACTGCATAGAAATTACTCTTCCAGGCAACATGTATCAGGGCTCGAAATTCATTTTTGGGAATAGGTGCACTGGTGCATCCAACCTAGAAAATTAGGTGCACAAAAAATTTTTTGGGTGCACCATATAGAACAAAACCTAATTACAGATCTTACAGCTCCTCTTCTAAGCTTGAATCTGAAATGGGAGCTAACTTCAAAATCTTACACAAGAACTACAACAAAGATCTTATTACTTTTCTGACCCTTATAAACTATTATACATTTAATATGTACAGAGATACCTACAAAAATATTTGGGTGCTCTGGTGCACCCACAGAAAAAAACTGAGTGCACAACTCCAAATTTGGGTGCACTAAGGTGCACATGCACCCAGTATTTCGAGGCCTTTGTATGATGTAGAGTCAGATGGAAACTCACCGTCTGAGAATAATGACTGCTCGTCGATGTTTGATGTCCTGTGGCCGCACACAGTGTGTGATCTCATCTGCCGCATAGTCACTGCAGAGGACAAGTTCATATTACAAGTGTCAGTAAAGACTGAAGACACAGAGAGACAACTGAACAAGCTGCAGTGGGTTGGAGGGGCTCCACAGCATCCACTGGTAAGACCACCCTCAGAGAATAAAACAAAAGGACTGGCTGAGAAAGATTAGCAACAAGGCCATGAATTCTCTAGTCAAGTGTCACTGACGAAAGGTAGTGGAGCATACCTGAATCATCTGACTATTTCCAAAATCATATCCATTTGCTTGAGTAACTGTTTTTTGCCAATGCAGCGGTTTGATTAAAAGTTCATAACTCATTGTTTGAATAATAAACCAGCCTGGTATGTTGACTTCATGGTTCCAATCATAGCATAACACAGACCTGTTTCTGCAACATTTTCCTTCCATAAGGCAAAAATCAACCAATGATGGTTCAGATTCACTTAACCAATGCTGACAGTAGACAGAACAAGTTGGACCCCTCTAACTGCCTCATGTGTCAAACAACATGGCAGACCCTAAGTCTATGTAAGCAAGCCGAACTTGACAACGGCATTCTACATTCCTACATGTCCAGTAGTCAGGCATTGCAAGTGTTTTCAAGTTGAGAAAGGGACAATCACATGGAACCACCAAATTTCATGCCGGTCATAGGTACTGGTAGTGTGTCAGAAGATTTGCTTGTATTTTTATTGGAAAATTTATGGCCAACAACAGTATACAAAATATGGTGAATTCTACCAGCTCTAATCGCTATTGATTGTCTCAATGGTTTTAGCAGTACATTCATATGTTAAGTTTATACTTATACAGGGACTTGTCTCATGTGTCAGTAGTGAGTTTTTATATATGAGAAGGAACTGTTTCACTCACTTGAAGGTTCATTCTATGGTTATGAGAAGTGACCATGCCTTATGACACATCATTCTTTATACAATGTAATTATCATGCAATATCTTTCTAACTACTATAACTTTTCATGTGATTTAAGATGCAGCAGCCAGCCAAAAGCCTACATCATCATCATCATCACCATCATAGTTTGTTTATTAGGATCTTCATTAGTGTAAATTTTTAATTTCGTCCTGGAGTGAATCAACAGACAGTAGTATTTCTCTAGTTAACTGTTGCAAACAGGTGCATGCTTCTATTCTTTTCCAAAAGGTGTGTTGGGTTAACAGGCATGGGGTGTGGCCAGGCTTTTAGCTAGGGGGTGTCCAGGGTGTCTTTTGGACGCCCTGTACTGAAAATACTAAGAAATTGGACGCCCTACTTTTTTGTAGGACACCCTAAAGACGCCCTATTTTTTCCACTCCCAACCCCTGCCATGCACACATGCCTCCCTTCAGTCTTACTATAAATACAAAAATGATGGTTTACTGAAGGAAAAAACTCAAATTTACACCTGAAAATGCAGGAAGTAGTGTTTGAGAGCATTATGAATTTCAAAAAAGCCCCCCTAAAATCTTGCACTCAGCACGTCTTCACTGTGCATAGCATACAATAAAAAAAATGGACACCCACCAAAAAAATCCTAGCTAAAAGCCTGGGTGTGGCTCTCCTCTAACACAGGACTGACATTTAAAGTCCTATCTGAGGGACGTCCCTAACCAAAGCTATACTCATTTTCACCTGAATGAAGTGAGGAAAGTTGTGTCAAGTGCCATACAAGGGCACAACATCAGGACATGCTGGTGGATTCGAACCTGCGACGTTTAGTTAACCCCCATGACCCAATAACTTGTGTGACCCCATCAGGGGCAAAGTAATAGGATACTATACCAAGAGCTACAACAACACTTTGAAAATAATTTGACCCAAATTAGCAATATGCTTTTAGTCCATAATCATAATAATGTATTTCCACTGGGAACTTGGCAGTTGTATGATAATGAAAAGTTGAACTTATCATTTATGTAATTGTAACAATATTTTGTTTATCTGTTAACTGTATCTGATCATGTTTTATTGTGACATGTAGCCATTTGTGTCAAAATGTGTAATATAGGTCAGCATTCATTTATTATTCAAACCGCTAGTGCATGATCCTTTAAAACAAACAAACAAACAAACAAGCAAACAACCTAATGACAGGCAGGTTGTACCCACCTGAGTACCGTGCAGCAGCCCCTGGCTACAGGAAGACACAGGACCGGCTTGGAGACCCGGATGGGTTTGAAGCTGAACTTGCAGCCGAAGCACAGCGCGCTGTCGCTGAAGAACGACACGGACACGATCGGGCGGGCGAAGATGTGGGGCGGGTCGATATGCGAGACGATACAGCCTCCCGGCAAGTAACAGTTGATAACCGCGCTGTTTACAAAGCCTTCTGGTATGATCTTGGCTTCAACCAACCTGCTGACCACCATTTTGAAGATCCAATCCGGGATGTCATCGACGTCGCCTTTTGAGTACAGTCTCTCCATGCCGGGTCCCTTCCTCTCCAACTGCGACCCGTACGTGTAACCCTCGCCGAAGAAGTACTTGACTCTTAGCGGTGCTCTGTCAACGGTGTGCTCCTTGTAGCACCCTCTGTCTGCTCGTCGAATGATTTCCTCGATTTTATCCTCAATTTTCTCACATTCCTCGTGTGAAAAAAGAATGCGCTGGCGGATGCCTTGGTGGATTCTGCGCAGCTCCTCTTGCCGATCCTTGGGTGGTGAGTTGAAGTCCTTCTGTCTGGCGGACCTGTCGCTGATCCCGGGCTCGTGCCTGTCCTGCTGAAATTCCAAGTCGTCTGCACTCCGTCGGCGCTTCCGACTGCCCTGCATGGTGAGTCTCTGCGGCAGACGGTCTCTGTTTTGCAGCTTCTCTCGCAGATCAGTGATGCCCTCCGCCATCTTGGAAGTCCTACAAAACAATCTTTGTGCGCATGTGCAGACTACCAAAAAAAAAAAGACATCTGTGGCCAACTTCCTTGCGCTTGCGCGTGACATGCGTTCATCGTGAGTAATTTTCACCATTAAATGAATCTTCGTGTCTCAATAGACTGTACAGATCAGATTGTCTTATTTTTCATCCACAGAGCTTCCAGCATGTTCATGTCGGGAGGACTTGGGACAGGTCCATGAGCTCATCACAATTATTCAAATAAGGACGTCTTTAATATCCATACATTAGGGACGACATTTCATGAATGTTGACTTTTTGTCATAGATTCTTATTGAACACACGGAAAATTAACTAATCCTTTGACCTCATGGATAATCTGAGATCATCTCTTTAATTAACCGACATGACGTCGTCATGACTTGCCACTCCTCCTTGTGTCATGTTTCCAATCCGGGGGCCCGCCCGGGTAGTTTCCGGGAACGTAACATTAACGCTATGTTAAACGTTAATTATGATGTCAAAGGTGTTATATAAAAGACGACAAAACACAAACAAAAAAATGAAAAATAATTATGAGTATCATTTGTGTATATTGTTGATGTGAATTGTTTATTTTTCGTTCATGCAAACAGCCCAACCGGCAACCAGTGACATATTAAGCCCACACTGCAAGTAAATTTTATGGATGACATCCTCCGCAGACTCCAAATCTAACTTGTTAATGCGATAACCGTTTAGGGCGAAAAAATAAGGCATGCCAAAAAAAAAAAAAAGATTCATTTTGAAATCATATAACCCTCATAAACAAGAAATGGACCCATATGTTGTGCTAAGTTGACTGCCAACTCATGATTACAACATCTATTTATCACTGAAAAATAAAAGTTTTGAAATTTGTACAAATGATTTTGTTTCAGTGGGAACATTTCAGGGATGAAATACATTACTGCATCAAATTAAGAGGCAAAACATTAGACAAGATATTTATCATATTTATCTGCCACGTTCCGGCATGGCAACAGACATCTTCTGCCCATTTTTGGTTTTGGCATGTTGACTACTGTCGTGGCAACAAACTTTCTTTTTTTCCAAAATCAGGCGAAAATCAATGCGGGCTAATGTCATCTACAAATGTATAAAGAGCTGGCTATAAAAATTACTTGATATGGCCAAGGTGCTGAAATGTAGAATAACGAAAGGTGCTGTAACTTCGGACATTAATTTTTCGGACGACTGCCATACAAACGGAGACCAAGCTTAGAAAGTGAAGAGAGAAAGTGACGAGTGCGGGTTGTCAGTTTCTAACTCCATGGTTTAATATTATGTTTTGATGAATGAAAAACTTGACGAGCATATCATATTTTTATTGTGGAAATGATTCCATGCACGGCGAACTTGAAAAAATGGCCAAAGCGCAACCCCCTTGTCCATCCTTGAAATAGCCGTCTCTAAATCGTGGTGCAAGTGACATCATATGAAAAGCCCGAATTACCATACACCTAATTACCATATTTGTGACTGCTCACAGACACGGCGGTAATCACTACCAGCTGTAGCGAGTGACTAGCGTGTCAGCCTGCGCCTGTGCTAGTAACTGCACTTTCAGTTCAGGGAACTGCGTGTGTGAGCTTTGGAGATAGTTAGTCGTCGCCAACTTTTACAGGTGTGTAGTAGTAGAGTAAGGGAATCTGCTCGATCACATGCAATAGCCGTAAATATTTTCTGTGAACCAATTTTGGCCCCGTATGACTCTGAAACCTGAGGGTATGATACACCGGTATGATAGTATGATGCATGTGTATTCCTGCTATCTCTCTACTGCTGCCCTGGGAACTTCACACCCTCCCCCTTCTCCTGGGCCGTCTGTCTGTGTAACGCCCTCCCCCTCCCAATCACACTCCCCACCCCCCTCCCCAGCCCAGCTGTTTCACCCCCTTCTGCTGCTGTGAAGTCGCCCCTTTGAGCCCCTAGTCGACCCCTGGTCCAGGACTGTTCGTCTGGAAGCTTATGTTTTTGGTAGCATTTATAAGTTTTCTGTTTGGAAGTTGGTAATTGACCTACTAGTATGGAAGAAATTATGACTAGCAGATTTTTTGGACCCCCTGGTGGCTTTTCTTGATACTGCAGCAGAAGTTTGTGGTCTGATATCTCGTGTTCTGGACATGCTAGGGGCATGGTTTTTGGTTGAAAAATAGCCATTGGTCGATCTGTTTTAGAATTGGTCCTCCTAGTGGTGTTTTTAGAACTACAGTGACCAATTTTGCTTGCAAGTTCGGAAGATTATATGGGTTGATGAATTGTTGTAACCAAAATCTCATCATTTTTTTCCTATATTACATGTAATAATGACTTTGACTGCTGTGTGTTACAGACATGGGTATTCTGGAGAAAATAGCTGAAATTGAGCGGGAGATTGCCAGGACTCAAAAGAACAAAGGTATCTGGTTTCACCAAGATATACATGATTGATGTAACTGTTATTAAATGATGTTACTTTTTTGTTACATATGTAACATGTTACTTTGAGAGAGTTTTAAAATGTTACGTAAAAATTTTGGAACCTAGAAACTTTAAGGTGTTGGCTGAAAAGATATCACCAAGGCTTGTTGCATATTGGCATTCAAATGTATGATTATTTGTAATATCTGTGATATATGAAATTCACAATTTTCTGTTCCCTTTACCGGTATTCTATCCTACAGCTACAGAGTATCATCTCGGTCTACTGAAAGCAAAATTAGCGAAGTACCGACAACAGTTGTTGGAACCAACAACAAAGGCTGGAGCAAAAGTAAGACATACTCATATGTATATGTATCTTAGGCCATAATGACTTAATTTTTTGGATGACGTCCGCGCGCGCATTGATTTTTGCCTGTTATCAAAAAAAAAAAAAAAGATCACGTCCACCAAGGCTCTGGCCTGGCTCTAGGCCTGGGTAGTCCATGGTAGTTAGTGACAATACGGAGCCGGGCACCCAGGTTACCGAAGCTCTACGACTCAAGAATTCAGAGTGCAGTGCAGATTCGTAAATTCCGCAAAAAGCCACATGTGCTGGCTTGTCGTATACGTCACTAAGTACTGCCGCAAATCCACAATACCAGCTCTGTATTCCTGTGATTTATTAGCATTTTTATTTTTGGCCGGAATTTTTTTTTATTCGCCCACGCGCACTAGTTTGGGGTCTTCAGAGGATGTCATCCATAAAATTAAGTCGGCATGGCCTTACCTGAGACTGCAGGTGTATTTAGACCTGCTGCTTACAAATGCAGGTCATGCCAATTTAAGGACTAGAAATAAAGAAGTGGGCAGTAAATAAATGTAATGTTACACTTTTAGAATATAAACTAATAAATGTGCTCAGATTAAGGCAAGCTTCTTAAATATTACAGCGTTTTTGCTAAAGCATTAAAATACAGCAGTCGGTGGCAAATAAATTATATAGTACATTTTTAGAGGTGATCCAGAATCATAAGTTACAGAGCACCAGGTATCAGATTTTACTGTGTTTTTGTTCTGTTTGCATGGCAACATTCTTTTCCCAATATTGGAGGACTGCATGTGAATGAACCTTGATTGTAATTGAAAGATAATGCTAATGAACTGCTGTGCTACAAGCCTGACGTTCTCCACACAACACAGACATGGACAGGAACAGTCCTCCAATGACAGTCTGCTTCCCATAGTTCATGACCAGGGCTTGGAATCGCTGCGCTCACTCGGTGATTCAATCAGTATTTAAAGGAAATGACCAGGCCTTCTGACAGGCTGGTCATTAACCCTCAATTATACTTCACATGAGAAGTATATTTAAGCATAACCTTCATGTTTCAATGGGAAACATCCTCATGAGATCAACATGTCCAACTATAACATTGGTGTATTTAATGTTTTATTTTTCAGGGAGAAGGTTTTGATGTAATGAAATCTGGTGATGCCAGGGTGGCTCTGATTGGTTTTCCATCAGTTGGTAAAGTAAGTTTGTTTGTTTGTTTGTTTGCTTTGATAGGACCTCCATTTAATATAGGAAGTTGGAATAAAGTAATATCATTTATACTTAATTCCAATACAAGACAATAAACTCACCAACTTTTTGAGATTCTTCTGTAAAGTTGACACACATGTTCAACAGGTGGGATCCTGGTCTTGTGGTTCATGTTGATGACTTGGAATCTAAAGGTTCAAATCCCCGGCAGACCCCAAAGCTGTACCCTTGGGAAACGTACTTTACACCCATTTCCTTGAGTACCTAGCTTTGGTTACACTTACAGATGTCTTCTGAGATGGGACATAAAGCAGAGGTCCCATGTTAGAAGTTAACAACATGAACACCTCAAGCATGTTAAAGAACTCACAGCACTAATTGAAAAGAGTGAAGAGTATAGCCTGGGTACCATCCGGATTTTCGCTCTGCAACGCTCTATTCTTTCGAGCGTTGCGGAGCGAAAGTCCGGATGGTACCCAGGCTATGAAGAGTGTGGATCTTACCCAGTGTGATATAGGTTCAAATGTAGAGCCATGTAAAACTTTATTTCCATTCCCTTCCAGTCTACTCTGCTCAACACTCTGACAGCCACACACAGTGAGTCAGCCTCCTACGAGTTCACCACCCTGACATGTATCCCAGGAGTCATACAGGTACATTTTCTCATTGTAAACCATTGAAGCTTTTTCAATGTAATATGGATGACTTGGGTCAGAGAATGATTTACTCAGTTGATCAACTCCATGGTAGAACTAGAGTTCCAGAATCTTATACTTTGCCAAATTATGTTTACCATACCACTGATCAATAATGTTTCTCATTGTAATGCAAATAAGATCCTCATTTGCCAGAATTATATAATGAATTGTATCATAAAATATATCATCTTCTCTACCTAATAAGTTTTATCTTAACAAAGAAGGCCATTCTAGCATTAACTCATAAATTATACAAATGAGCTGAATTTTTAAAATAATTTATGTTAAATGATTTATCTTCATTTAACTCCCAAATGTTCAAGTTTGAGATTCCTGGCAGTTACCACTTATTCTTTATTATGAAATCTACGTGGTCATACATGTAAAGGTTGAACATTAGTGACTAAACAGTATGTGAGTATTGGTATGGCGAATAATAGTTATAGAATCTTCATTTTCATTTTTTCACGTTCAGTAAGACAATTCTTTCAATCAGTGACTATTAAATCCTAAGGTACATATACCTCCGAATTTCTTCACATTTTCTTCTTTTCCCGAGTTGATTTCAGCATTAGTATCGTTTTCCAATACTTTTTTTGCAACGCACGACATATATTCGCTCATTTTGTACAATTTACCGTATGGTTGAAATTAAACTAAGTCTTTTGTTTTTTGGAAACGGACAAAAATTCATGTGTGCACAGATGTCATCCATATAATCAAATCAACATGGCCTTACATTGACTTGGCCTATCATGGAACCCGGCAGATTTATATATTTCCTCATTAATTATGCAAATTAGAATCCTTATTTGCATAATTATGTCTAGCATCTCAAGTAACACTCTCTTTTTCCACAGTATAATGGTGCCAACATTCAGCTTCTAGATCTGCCAGGAATCATTGAAGGTGCCTCCCAGGGTAGGTTTTCATCATTTACACCACTAAGCTTACATGCACTGCTGAAAGAAATGAAGGGCCAATGAGTATGATGTTGTGGTTTGTTGTTTAAATTGTCACAGGATGTCCAAGCTAGATGTCCACAAAGGTCAATATTTCTGATGCCTGAATGATTTTCTCATGCCTGAATGATTTGAAGCTTTAACAATACTGTCAGCTGGAGGGATTTTGGAAAGAGCATTAATTTTGTCTGATTTATACTAAATTATAGACCTTTAAGTCTTGACAATGCATACACCTCGGTGTGTGGTATCAATCCTTATTGTATGACATGACCTACAGCTGATGATGATGTGTGAGAATTGTGAGCCTCAGCAGTGTTGTATGTTACATTTTGTGTTCTACATGTAGGTAAAGGCCGGGGTCGACAGGTCATAGCAGTGGCTCGTACAGCTGATCTGGTCATCATCATGTTGGATGCCATGAAGGGTGATGTACAAAGGTACGTTTCCTGCCAAGTCTGTTCCACTCTATTGCAGAGCATAGGGGTGGTGCCCATATCCAATTCTGTAGCCCTTGGGCGACACACAGTTGTGCAAGGCACTACAGCAGGGGGCTGGTCCGCTGGCAGTGCTGTGTGTTTGACCTTCCCACACTCTTTCTCATATGTGCTGAGTGCTAAGCAGAGAAAGAAGTGTGTACCATTTTTAAAGTCTTTGGTATGACCGGCCGGGGTTTGAACTCACGACCTCCCGGTTACAAAGCGAGCACTCTACCAATTGAGCTATTGCACCGGTCCAAGTCACTTCACTACAATTACTAGTATGTCCAGTACAGGCTACTGGGACTGGCTCTGGGGAAATGGACAAAGGTGAAAGGCCTTCTAGTGACTGACGGTACTGCACCAGAAGTTCTAGTTCTTGTATCTTTTGTCCTGGACATGCTATGGTCTTGAATTTGTTGGTGGCTCAGATAGTTTTTCATGTCAGAATGTGGCTTTGGTTCCCTATCAGCTTGTTTTGGAACTACAGGGAGTGAAATCTTTCGAAGCCGAAAGTTAACTCAAGAAAAGAGCATTTTCATGATTTTTGGCATGTAAGTAGCTTAGACAAATCTACACAATCAAATGCAACTTAAGCAACTGAGAAGTTAATTTATACATTAATGATGAAATTCTTGTTTTGTACATAATACATGTAGGACTTTGATACATGTAACGTATACTATGAAGTACGAAATGTAGTAGTATTAGTAGTAGTAGTAGTACAAATGTAGTAGTAGTAGTAGTAGTAGCAGTAGTATCCAATCCATGTAGTAGTATCCAACATTAGATTATACTGCTGTGGGGTTCCCTGATTAGTTATTGAGGGGGTTAACATTATTATTTGTCTTGTTCAGGTCACTACTGGAAAAGGAACTAGAGAGTGTTGGCATCAGGTTGAACAAGAAGAGACCAAACATTTATTTCAAGGTATTTTGACAGGATAAATTAATTTACATTGTTTGAACATAATGGAGTAACATACATGTACATCATGTATATATGAACATATATGAACAATGGTAGAGGCCTTGTTTATTCATCCATCCATCTGATTCATGTTTTTATTTCTTGCTGTGTACTAAATTGATGATCATGAATAGTGTTGTTGCTCCTATACCTGTCCTGTCGATATACCAGTAAATGTTTTGAAAAGTGATCAGCCATTGTGTTGAATTAATATTAATGTCATGTCAAAAACATGTTGCCATTACTTTTTGACATACCGTATTTCCTCTAATTGTCTAATTGTGTTTTTTTTAAACTTTTGATGTCAAATGCAGGTGCTCCAGGTTCTAAAATAGAAATACTACGTACAATGTATGCACATACATGTAGTAAACTGCAGGGCATTTATTTGGAGAGAAATTCTACAAACAGTCATGCCTATTTGCAAGCTGCAAGATTCTGCACAAACAACTATCAAAGGGATGCTAGTGTAACGGAAATGAAAAGAAACCTACATTGGGGGTCGCTGGAAGACAGACGTAGAATATCCAGACTGTGCATGATGTAGAAAATAAACTGGTGGATGTACCAACCACTAAGTATCTGATACCAGCCCAGAAAAGAACAAGAAACAGTCATGCCTTCAAATATCAGAGTTATCAACCAAGAATTGAGGTATTCAAAAACTCGTATTTCCCCAGAACTATCGTAGACTGGAACTCGTTGCCACCAAGCACAGTTGGGGCATCATCACTAGAAAGCTTTAAACAACTCCTTCAATCAAATTGGCAAAGATTGAGTGTAACAAGTCATTCGGTGTGATATAGCTAGCTGCCACCGCGCCGTGTGCCTGTGAAGCTGGTGTGTTACGCCGAAGGGCGGTTATACCGGCTATATCAATACAGACACAGATACAGATATTTACCAGAGGTACTTGCTGGTGAGACACTGAAAGGCTGTGGATGTAGTTATTCTGAATGTTTCAGATCTTTTGATCAAGTCTGTGGTTGGCCCCGAATCAGTGATGCGTACATGTAAGAAGAAATACGGTACTCTTTGTGACTGGGTGATAAATAAGGCTTAGGAAAAAAATATTAACTTGTGTTTCCTGTTTCCCGACTGACCCTAGAAAAAACTGCCAACCCTACCTTTTTTTTATGAATCCCTGCAAGGGACATAAATGTTTTGAGCTGATTGACAATTTCCAGTGCCATGATCTGTCACCTGAGTGATGAAACATACAATCAAGTATCCTTATGCAAGTTCTACTTTGGCCCGGTTTACACATGCATCGTTTATATGTGTTGGGCGTAAAACGACGCGAGCGTGCGCGCGGCGCTGCACTGCGCGTTTTGTGCAACAGATTTTTTAGCATGTAAACAACCTCCGGCACAGACGCGCGGCGCGCATCATTACGCCCAACACATATAAACGATGCACGTGTAAATTGGGCCTTTGTTAAACTGTATTGTATAAGTTGGATCACTAGAGATCACCAAAGTCTAACAAAAAAAGAAAGAAAAAAAAGATGACGCAGGAAACACAACATTTTTTCCCTAGGCCTAACTCAGAGACAGGAGAATATGAAACAGAAGTTTGGTGTAACAATGTAAAAAGACATTATATAACAATACTGTTTGTTATTTCCAGTTGAAGAAAGGAGGAGGGGTTTCCTTTAACTCCATGTGCCCCCTCACACACTGTAGTGAGAAGCTGGTACAGATGATTCTACATGAGTACAGTATCCTTACATGTTTACCCTTCCACACGCAAGGCTTTTAAGGCCACACCAATTTAATTTGTTGTGTCTCAGATTTTTGTAGAAAAAATCAGGAGCGACAGGGCAAAAAAACAGGCCAAGGCATCCCATGATAGCCGGAAATGTTACAATATGAGCCATGAAGTGAACACACCAGGCTAGTTTATAATTAAAAACAATAGATTTTAATCTTTTAATGAAACAAAATTGCATTGTTACATTAAAAAACTTAACCGTTGGAAACAAAATATGTCTTTCATTGAGCATTGCAGTTACAAATGTAATTTAGAACAAATTTTTTTTCTTTTCTTTGCTAAGTGGAAAATAATGGACAGGGCGATCCGAGGAGCAACAAATTAAATTGGTGTGGCCTAAGGCTCAAATTACCCCGTGAATGCACACCTTTGTGCACATAAAATTGGAGAGGAGACTATTGCAGCCGATAGAAATATCCAGTAAATGTATTCAAAGGTAAAAAAATGTTACATGGAAATGCATCTATCAACTGCTCCTTACGGGCCTAGACAGCACGCACTGAGAAGTGAACTTTTATGTTTATACAGTTTGTATTATACAGTAGTTAGAATCTGTGCTAACATTCTACCTGCTAACATGCTAAGCTTTATGTTGTGCTGGCAAAATATTGTGCATTTTTTTCTTATGTGCACTTGTCGGCCTTTACCAAATAATGTAATTCAAGTCCTGCTTTTCCTTGTGAGGAACAAACTAAATTGTACATTACACCCAGCAGGCATGTTTTTATGTATCCCAGCTCTTCCAGCTTTGAGAGCAATTTTAGTAAAGGCAACATTGCTCACAGTATGATCTTCTTGATTAATGTCCACCACATAACTTGCCCCAAGTATTGAAATGAAGCAAATATAAAATTTGAAAATAAGTCAAGATTCATAGTGAACTACTAGTATTCCTGTAAAAGATATCGAATTACATGTTCAATGTACACAGTTCCCTTAACAGTCCCACAGAGATTTTTAATTGTGAGGTGCTGTTTCGAGAAGACTGCACTGCTGATGAGTTTATTGATGTCATCTGTGGCAACAGAGTCTACCTCCCATGCCTCTATGTAAGTCCTGGTTGTGGTTCAGTACATTAGTATGTAGTACTTTGATCATGAGTGACAAACTGACAATGAAGCAGTACTACATCGAAGAAGGTTAGACTTCCAGGTAATACGATACACCAAAAAGCAATTACTGTTACTCAAGATACTGGATATGATTTTAGAAACGGTCAGACGTTTCAGCTAGTATCCACTAGCTTTCGTCAGTAACTGAGAGACCAGAGGAGAAATGCAGGAGCTTTCTGACTAGTTTGCATGATCTTGTCTTGACTTGTCTGACTTTTGTCCCCTTTTTGACTTCCAAAAAATCGTCTTCACTTTATTTGCATATCAATCAATGGTTTGTGCTTATAAACCTGCATTTCTCCTCTGGTCTCTCAGTCACTGAGAAAAGCTAGTGGATACTAGTTGAAACGTCTGACCGTTTCCAAAATCATATCCAGTTGCTTGTGTAACTGCTTTTTGGCGTAAGCAGTACTACAGTTGCAAGACAGTCTGTACTGAGTCAGAAAAGTTCACATTTGTTCTCATGCTCAGCTACAGGCTTCTCTGCATCCTTCTAGCAGCTTTGTCATGAAATTTTGTCAAACTTCAGTACTTAATCCTTACTTGTGCTAGCAATGCATAATGTCAGCATCTTTTGCTTCTGCGTGAAAGTGATTACATTTTTTTTGTACTTTGAAGCATGGCACTGTGATATACAATGTACCACTTTATGCAAATTTCCAGCAAAGTCATTTTTAAGTCTGAAGTATGCTCAGTCAGACAATTTCTGAAGCAGTTTAACAAAATTTGGTTGGTTTTGCAATGAGGACTGTTACATAATCAACACAGGTTGCTAGATAGAGTGTAATATTGCTTTTTAAAGCAATATCTAATTAAATTAAAATTAAGACAAAATATTGTAGTCTTAACCCATGTTATCTTGAAATTTTCGAAATAGACATGAATGGATCTCGTGATATTTCTGGTATGTTGGACTGTTCATAATAGGACTGTTCACATATGTTACATGTGTAAACCGAGAACAATTGGAACATCAACAGAATGATATATTATAACAAATTATTCAATTGAATCCTCAATTTGCATAATACACTTGTATGTACATGCTGCGGTTGGAAGGTGAACATTGTTAAACACAATTTATGCTAATCAGGGCATATCTAGTCATGGAACTCAAGTTTCATGATTTTTATTAATGATACCCACACAGTGTGTGCTTCTCTGTTCACATGTATGTATTTCCTTTTTATTCCTTTATATTTAAGTCCAACCACTAACTGATCTATCCATGAATAAGTCACTGAATCAAGAGGCTCTTTTCACACAACCAAGTGTTATATTTAGTTGGCGTTTCGGTGACCATCTGACACCTGTGCTGCAATGCAATGTGAACCAGTCAGATTTGCCCTGAGGAAGGTGACAGACGGTCACCGAAATGTCGGCTGATTAAAACCCTTGGTTTCGTAAAAAAAAAAAGAGTCATTTACTTACCTGATCTACATTAATTTTTATATTTTGGCAACAATGTGGTGGTTTTCTTCCAGGTCTACAACAAGATTGATCAAATATCTATAGAAGAAGTGGACAGAATCGCCCACCAGCCATACTCTGTTGTAATAAGGTGAGCCCTATGCCTGTAGTTTCTTTTTATTGTCAAGGTTATTGTTAGAATGTCAAAATGAGGAGCAAACAAAATCAAAATACATGTGGGATATGGGTGAAGTTATCACCCTCACCAAGAGTAACCCGAAGGGAGAAATACCGGCGGAAATACAATGTTCCACCGGTCAGCACGCCCAGGCGGAAGGAGAGGCTGAAGGACATGGTCACGGAGGCGAAGGACCTCCTGAACCCCCAAAAGGCCCATCAAGCCGACCTCGTTGTAGATGCGGACATGGTTGAGGCGGCGGTCCGAGAGAGGGCCAAGAAGGGCACGGCACCAGGGCCGACGAAGATCTCCGACAAAGACCTGAAAGGAGGAAAGCCAATGTTCCAGGCATTGAGCGACCTCTATAAGAAGGTCCTCAGCACGGGCGACATCCCTGATGGGTTCGGTGACTCTGAGATTACACTCCTGCTAAAGTCGACGGAGAAACCGGCTGAGCTCATCTCGAGCTGGCGCCCGGTTGAGTTACAAGAGGCGGCATGGAAAGTATTTGCACACATAGTGCAGAAATACTGGATTCAATGGCTGATGGCACAAAACATGCTATCCCCGTGGCAACAGGCGTTCAGGCCTGGGGGGGACATATCCACCCTGCTGTACACGCTCGTGGCGGCGTTGCAAGAGGCAAGAGACCGTAGAGGCGAAATCTATGTCCTATTTCTGGACATATCAAATGTATTTGGCTCAATATGACACGAAGCCCTCTTGGAATGCCTAGCCATGTATGGCCTAGCGAACAACATGGTGAGGGTAATAGTAGAAAGGGCACGGAGGGGCAAGATCCTTCTCCGTCAAGCGAGGGGAGAGATGGCGTCTGAAGAAGAGATGGACCGCATGGTGGGCCTGCCTCAGGGCGACAATAGTCTTCGCTCTCCTCTTCAATATTGCCCTCCAGGGGACCCCCCAATCCCTAATGACGAGGCATGGCATAGTGCTACGAGGGAGACAAGTTAGGCTTGCCCACCTAGACTTTGCCGATGACGTAGGGCTAACAAGTGGCTCACGGGCTGGCATCATGGAGATGGCCGGATGGGTGGAGGAAAGGTTCACAGCTCTGAACCTCACCCTAAGCCCCGACAAGATTGTCCTAATGGTGTATAAGTTTGGGCATGAGCAGATACTGCTTACGCCATCGCCACCAGTGCAGATCGGGGGCAAGAACATCCGGTGTGCCAGCCCAGATGACGCGCGCCCGGTAACATACCTGGGCATGACGGTAAACAGGCCTCGCAACTATGCCAAATTACGAGTGTCAGGGTGGCTTGCGCCAAAGGTCCCACTTGACCAGACCATGGAGGCAGGTCTGAGACCGCTCCAGCCTGGGGAACAGTTGTATGGGTTGACATTCCCACAAAAGTTGGATTATGTGACAACATACGTAGTGCCAAGGCTGATCTACCCTCTGAGGGTGGTCAATGTGCGTGTGAAGGAGTTGGAGAAAGTTGACAAACTCCTAAAGGAAGGGATCAAATCGTGGGCAGGGGTACCATTGAGAATGTCGGACGGCTTCCTCTACCTCCCTCGTCACAGACTTAGGCCTACCGTCCATCCACTCCACATACAGAAGAGCACTGGTGGACAGATGTGCTTGCCTACTAGGCACCCCTACCACCAACAAGGGACCAACCCCTCCCCTTGCAAAGTACACCAGGGAGATCCTGAAGGCGCAACTGGACGACTACCTCGGCAGTGGTCTGGAGAAGGAGCCGGGTAGCAAAGTGCTGGGAATTAAGATGACAAGCACAAAAGGGGGACACCTGGTGAAGAAGGAGGGGAGAGCCACCAAGGGAGAACAACCTTGGCTATTGCACATGCTGGGGGCAATGTGCGATATGGACATAGGCATGTACAAGGTGGGAGACGGGTATGTCCTCACGGAAGGCGGGGCGACAAGGTCACAAAAGGGCGAAGTGACCAATGCCTTCCAGACCCTGATGAGACTCCGGTCATACATGACAAGGATGAGTCAGAGACACCTGACAGGGGAACACATAAAGGAACATGTCCCAGCCGCCCCGCTGATTGCAGACACGCTTGAAGGGTATGTAGCAATCGGGAAGCTCATCAACCCGACAACACTGAGGGACGTGTGGTCATGGGGCAGAAGGAAGTACTCCCGCTACATAAAGTGATAGTGAAAGTGATCTTGAACCAGTTTAGCTCATAGAAGAGCTACTCTTCCACTGGTCGTCACAGAGAAGACAGACGCTATGTACAGTATTTACAGGTTCATTGTACCGGGGAAATTCCCCTAGCTCTTCTCGACAAGCACAATGAACAGTGGACCACGGTTAATGTCCCGTCCGAAGGACTGCAACCCTAAACAGTAGCGTACATGTCGGGTGAGCGACATCAGCCGGGATTCGAACTCCCAACCTCTTAGCCCAGAGGCAGGATCGCTAACCACTGGACTACGCACACTACTTGACATACACCAGGCCACCTTCAAGGTGACAGCTTCGGTCTGTGACCCGTGCGCAGCCGAGTCTGGCATACTGCATAAACCAACGCCAGCCCACTATGCAGCAGGCTGCATTGCTACGAACACGCTCCAAATCAAACGCCACCATGCTGTCTGCGATAGCTTGGCAAAGGTCTGCAAGGTCAAGGGCTTCCAAGTGGAGAGGGAGAAGCCCTACCCCCATCTCAACAAAAGGGCGGACGTCGTTGTGCGCACCACTAGGGGGGTGGCGATACTGGAGATTGCGGTGGTGGAACACTTCACCGCCGACAAGTTCGCAGCAAAGCGGCGTCAGGTTGAGCTAATCGCCAGAGACATCGCGAAGGGAGAACTGACTCAGTCAGTAGACCCACACGATGATGACGACCGGGCGGACCGCCTCTTCCAATGGGCCGGGGACACCGGCCCGAAGATGGCAGTCAGTGTAGGTGCGCAAAAGGCGAAGGGCTGGCTCTGGGTCCCTTCAGCAGGGAGGATTGCGATCCATGAGATCCACCTCGCAGAAGGAGGCAGACACAGGAAGAGAATGCCGGCAAGAGCTGCGACAGACAAACCGACCGCAATGCTGGCAGAGGGTCGAAAACTGGCTGAGTTGCGGTCCTAGACAAGGGTGTCGCTCCTCCACAACGTCCCGGGATGGATGGAGCAAGCCCACCGCACCCTAGACTCTCAAGAGCTCCCCATGGCCGTCGCACTATACCTCAAAGACGCCAGTGGGGTGAAGCACATGGAGGTACCAGCAACACCAAGAGGGTACCCATGGGTCACATCGACCAAAGGCCCTGTGCTTCAGTATATGAGAGAGACCATGGGGCTCTACGGCGACTACCCGCCTGTGGGCAGAGCCGAAGCAGATCTGCAAGACGCCTCCAAATGGGCCCACACGTTCACGGAGCCCATCCCGGTGCTTTACGACATAGCCGGCACCCTCCATAGAAGCTCGGCCAACCTGCTAAGGGATACCCTGAGCATGCCAGTGACAGAGGCCCTAAGACCTTCCATCGAGATCTTTCGGTGGAACCATACCATGGGGAAGCCGCAGAACATTCCCTCGTGGTACAAGAACCGCCTGATACAGGGCCGTACTCTCACCTCTCGAATAAAAGTACCCCCTGGAATAAAAGTACCCCCCGGACAAATCTTTAAAATGTAATAAAAGTACCCCCTGGAATAAAAGTACCCCCCGGAAAATTTTAAATTGAAATGTGTAAGCAATGTTTATGCTACTAAAATGTGTTCTCACGGTGTACATCATGTATGTGTCCCTTGCAAACTTGCAAACACAGGTCCCAAATAAACATACCGGGGTACCCCCGGAATAAAAGTACTCCCAAGAAATCTTCAAAACCTAATAAATATCCCCCCCCCCAGAATAAACATACCCCTGGAAAATTACCAAATTATCAGCCTGCATTCTTACAGGTTAATGAGAAGTACATGCCTTTGTATATGTCGTGCAGTCTAATGACATTATCCATCTACATTCTAACTTGAGATCTGACTCTGAGTTCACACAATTTGTTGTTGATCATTGCATTGCATGCATGCATTGAGCAGGAACAATGCTATCAAGTTTTGGAATACGAGTCCTTGATTTTTTAAGGTTAAGAAAAATTACATGAATAGAGTTTGAAGTTGAACAAAAATTAACAATATGCTAAATACATGCTCTATACAAATTTGCAGTAATGTGTAAAAAGCCATAGGGAAAAGAATCAAATATAGAATATAATGTTAGATTTTGAATGGTATTTCATTTTTATACCTTTAAAAAAACTTCAATCAGTTCTCAAACAATTGTCACAATCCACAAGTCACACACAAAGTTCACACGAGAATAGCAACAATTTGAAACACTGCCACAATCTCAAGGGTCTCAGGTTTCACTTACAAAATGTAGCAAGCTTTGAAGTTTGTGTTAGTATGCAAATGATGGGAGGCGGGGCCACAAGTTCTTGGAAGAATGGTTCATTCTCTAGTAGGGGGACAATAACATTTTAAAACATTTTGATGTGTACTTGATATGAATAGATTGCAAGTTTTGTCATGTCAACACCTTTTTACTTATTATTCAACTGTTCCATAATGTAACATCCATATTTGATTTTTTAAGAAAGAGTTTTATTCACATTTAAAAATCATAGCTTCCCCATACTCAAAGTAGGCTCTTCCAAATGATCGTGGGAAGTTTTCAAGTGTTCACTTGCACTCCTTACGTGCTCCAGTCAGAACGGACTATTTCCAGCTTGAATTGTCATTTCTGTGGTAGGATTTTGGAATTCTTGTGAGAAATACTATTTATTGTGCTAAAATACACTGTTGTCTGGTATTGTTTTCATATTTTCATTGGAAAAAGGAATACTTGAAACACGTAATGTGCAAGCACATGTTCCTCCCCCCAAATTATTTCTAGTAACGCTAGCTCATATCTCCGACCTGCTACGTGTTCCAAAATATTACTTACCTTTTTCAAAAAAAGAGGTGATCTTTTCCCTACATAAGTACAAGTACGATGACTCAGTAAATCTGCCGTACGTTTGGTGTCAGTAAAGTTCTGCCCATGCATATTTGACATGTTGCAAAGTGGCCGCTACTTTGGGCGGCTGTGTCCGGGCATCGTGGCTTTCCAAAAACTTGCACCCAGAAAAAATGTTTTCTCCAAGAGGGCATGTACTTTCAATGCTGTTAACTATGCCCCGATTTTGAAAAATTATTATATGCACCGTCCAAAATGAGATCGTACCGGGTGGATGTTCGGGGCAACAAAAAAAGGCACACGAGAGTTAGTTTATTCAAGGACGTTCAACCCCGGAGCGGCCACCCCCGGTCTTGTCGGATCTTCTTGCGTACTGGCAGAACTAACAAAACATGAAAAGTTCCCGCTAGAATACCGCAACAAGTTACTACAAAAAGACTTAAATGTATTATTTGTACCAGGAACTTCCTTCTTACGTCCAGACATGTGCTTTTCGTGACATTTTAACTCTGCTGTTACATACTTTTTTGCCCGGAACTTTTTTGGATTCTGAAAAAAAATAAACGTACCGTCTAAAATAAGAACGTACCGGGCGGATTTCAAGGCGAAAAAAAATAAACGTCCCGGTACGTTTATTAGAGAGGTAAGAGTAAGTAAACGGACCCCGCACCTACGAACACAGGAAAGCAGCCTACGTTGCTAGCAAGCAACGAGTCAGTGAGATCGTACACAAGCTGACCAAGTTAAAAAAAAAGCACATTACAAATGGATTGTTATGACTACCAAACAACTTACACATTTTGAGCCACCTGAATGCTTGTTTAAGTACTACAACAGAACTTCCAGTTTTGTGCCTTTTCTTATGAACATGTATGACCTATGGTCATAATTTTTAAGTGCAGAACAGCTTTTGAGCTCATGAAAAAACATTAAAAAGAGTTTTAAACAGCCACTGCCGTACATAGCAATAGTAGCTGAATAGTAGCTGTTGTACTGCATCAGATTTACTCCTTCTGCGATTTAGACTTGAAATATACATGTTAGTTTATAATGTAATGTTAGTATAAAACCAACAGAATCATACGGATACAGAAATTAGTAAATATATATATGGCTGGTTTATTGGTTGAAACTATTTTGCAGCCAGGAGGCTGAATTGCAAGATTCATTATATTCTGTTCTCTCTATCATAATCATAATCATAACTTACACAACTAGGCTTACTTAAGATCTGTACATGGTCAGATCAGTCATATGCTCCAACATATCCTCAATGGACAATACATAATAAAATACAATAAACCAAGAGTTTCACTATTTAAGGTTACCGTAGTGAATTGTTGGCATAACACTTAGGTACATGCTGGTATGTGGTCATATTGACTTGTTTGTCTTGAAACATGTTTAAAGTCAAAACTTTTGGTCCAACACAAAAAAAGTTTTCTCACCAAGAGCTTTCGACCAGTCACTCTGGTCTTCCAAGTTAGTAGACTGGTCGAAAGCTCTAGGTGAGAGAACTTTTTTTGTGTTGGACCAAAAGTTTTAACTTAAAACATGTAACTACCAACACAGATGAACTTTCATGATTGTGTTGAAACATGTTGGCATGTTTGTGTTGCAGCTGTGAGATGAAGCTGAATCTGGACTACCTGCTGGAGAAGATGTGGGAACACCTGGCACTCATCATTGTCTACACCAAGAGAAGGGGATGTAAGTACATGTAACATCCAGACTTCAGAATGAACTCTGGGTTTATAAACTGTTATTAGTGTTAAAGCAGCAGTGCTTTATGTAACATTAGGACAATACCAAAAGTTGCAGTATGTGAAACTAGAAGTAATTTAGGACCATGATACAAAAAGTGCTAGCCTAAGGTTCTCCTATCATTTCTTTTCAAATTAAGTTGAATCAATGCAACACCATTGAAAATAAGTGCCATGCAGGATGCCTTAACCAGCATGTTTAAAAGCTGGAAACACAGCTGTCAGCCATGTTTGTTTACATTCTGCTATTTTGTGGTGGTACCACAAACTGAGTGTGTCTTGTGTGGGCTGATTTAGTACCAACCACAAATGTCATAAATGTGACATGATTGCAGAAATATGTTGAAAAGTGGAAGTGAATTACAATCACATGGAGATTCTTTCAATTTAAATATTCCAATTTTTGGTTCAGAAATGTAGTAATGCCACAAGTAACAAAATTGTGTTTTTCTGCATGACATTTCTCCTGTTGGATGTGTCCTCAGGTCCCCCAGACTTTGGTGATGGCATCATCATGAGGAGAAGCTGCTCTGTGGAGCATGTGGTGAGAATTCAGTTTTGGATCACAACTTTTAAGACTTAAAAGTCTTAAGCAATTGTCACACATACATTGTACACAGGGGGCCTCCCAAACACTAGCTGAATTCCCTCAATCATGGTCAGGAGTCAGGCAGACAGGCAGTCCTATGCAGTTTGTGCATTTATCCCCCCCCCCCCAGTTAATGAACATGCAATGAAGTTTCTTATAATCATTATTAGTGAAAGGAGGCAGTGTTAAGGAGGCAGTGTCAGAAACATTATTACTAGTGTTACATGTAAGCATGCTGCCCCAATGGCTGACTGTGCTATGTTAGTGAGTGAGTGAGTGAGTGAGTGAGTGAGTGAGTGAGTGAGTGAGTGAGTGAGTGAGTGAGTGAGTGAGTGAGTGAGGCATCATAGAATGGATTATTACTCATTGTTTGACATATCTCACTCCCAATTTACATTATGATTTGTGTTTCATACTGTGTTTACATGGTACACATTCCTGGCACACCCTACATGCCCAGCAGGGCATGAAGGGTAACAACCCTGTCAAACAATGGAAACAGAATCTCCACCCACTCACTTCCAATCTTCACTGCTTTAAATTGGAATACATACAATCCAGGGCCACCCAAATCTAATTCTGTCCCAGCAATTGTAAACAACACACAAATTGTTCATATTTGGGCTTTTTCATTCAAGTAAACTTTCAAATCATCAATGTTGTTCAACAAGGTGTCTTTTATTAAGATGGTATATATATCTAAAAGTGACTTGTGGAGCCCAGCATTGTTGGTGTAACAGGTTAACTGACATAATATGCCTTATTTCTTACAGTGTCACTCCATACACAGACAGCTGAAGTCTCAGTTCAAATATGCACTTGTGTGGGTGAGTCAAGTTTCTCTTTTAGCACACTAAGTTTTGAGTGTAACATCATCTGTACATGTGTATGTATCAGTAAACAGGGCTCGAAATACTGGGTGCATATAAATGAAGGTACTTTAGTGCAGGTAAAATTGGAGCTGTGCAGGTATTTCTGATGTCTACCTGCACCTAACCTGCACTGGTCCATGTACTGGGTATATGCAGGTTAGTGCAGGTAAAATTGGAGCTGTGCAGGTATTTCTGATGTCTTCCTGCACCTAACCTGCACTGGTCCATGTACTGGGTATATGCAGGTTAGTGCAGGTAAAATTGGAGCTGTGCAGGTATTTTTGATGTCTACCTGCACCTAACCTGCACTGGTCCATGTACTGGTCCTTAGTATGATCCATACTTCTCAGAGTCTGAGGGGTGCAGGTAAAATTTGTCTAGTGCAGGTAATTTTTAATGTTACTCACAAGTGCAGGTATGCAGAAAAAAGTATTTCCAACCTTGGTAAATATCAAAGACATTGTTGTCGCAACTATGTGTGTAGTTGAGTCCGAGTGTTGTCATGAAGCCTGTGTTTCTGTAAGGTGTGTTTGAAGTGTTGTCATGAAGCCTAATAGTACGTGTTTCCATTGAGACATTTAGCCTAATATGGCCTCCGAAACACCAGCTGAACTCCCCAAACAGATATAATAAAAAAAATATACAGGTGTGGACGGGAGTTTCAAGCATGGTTTAAGCCACACCAATTTCATTTGTTGGTTCTCGGATTCTCTTCTGATCATTTTTTTTGTTTGAATTGAAAAAAAAAAGATTCTGGTTCTGAATTAACTAAAAAAATGCACTTCTTTTGCCCCCAACAGTTGAGGAAAGTCCTTTTCTTTGTAGTTGTTACAATTATTCCATCTATCAATGCAATATTTGATTAAAAGTCAGAATTCATTGTTTAAACATTAACCCAGCCTTTTGTGTTGACTCCATGGCTCCTATCCTAGCATTTGGGCCTATAATAGAACGCCTAGACCTGTTTTATTTCTTTCGCTCTGTCGCTTCATATTTTTCTGAAAAAATCAGAGAACCAAGAAATTGAATTAATGTGGCCTTAGGGCATGGTTGGCAGTAAAATTTAATTCAAATTTATTTGTATAGAAAGACGGGCATGGCCAAAATCTGGTCAGTCTGCTCCCAAACCTTAGCCAACCTTGGTGCTGGACTGCTTGGCTTGAGGTGTGTCTGAAGTAGGGCTGCGTACCGGTCCAGATGGACCAGTACGAACTGTAAAAATAGTATCGGTCCGGTCCGATAAAACCGAAACGTCGGTGGACCGGTTTTTTGGACCGGAACAAAAAATTCATACTTGATAACTACACACAAGGAGGCCTGCCAGGAAAATGAACATCCAGCGTTAAAATAAAGAGATTTACACAACTTATGACGACTCCCAAGTTCAGTAAGTGTGGGTCACTAAGAAGGTGACTGAGAAGTAGTGAGAAGTGAGATAGGAAACTTAGTTACATTATCCATGGTTATATTTGATGTTCTTTGGAAGATACAGGACAAATTGTCAACACTTTATTCATATGTTTCTGTCATTATTGAAGAATTTCAGTAGAACATGTGACGCGCGTGACCTGGACCTGGACCTAAACCTCTGTATCTGTACCTGTACCTGATGTTACGAAAATGTATGCCGCCCTAGTCTGAAGTGTTGTCCTGTGTGTTTCTACAGGGCACTAGTGTGAAGTACAGTCCCCAGAGAGTCGGACTGCAGCATGTCATGTGCCACGAAGATGTCATCCAAGTCATGAAGAAATGATGGCCTCGCACAGTATTATGTTCTGCATGTTGTTACAGTATATAAAGAATTTAGCTTTGTGTTGTTGGAACTTGATAAGCATTTCACCTTTTGCCCTGAAAGCAGCATGGAAAACTTTCATGACCTTAAACCAGGCTTAAAGTTTGAAATTATATCCTTGTGGGTAAAATGTCTGGAAGAGTCAGAATTCTCTTCAAATTTGAAATTGTGATGTTCTGATGGATCTTTACAACTTTATTTGGGCTATCCAACTTCCATTTTCAGACCACATGACAATGACATGTATTGTTGAGGAATCAGATTTTGCTATTTTTGCCTTGTTTCTATGTTAAAGTTTTGAACATCAATTCTGCAGTTTTCACTCATTAATTTGGGAAGTCACAGACTACTACAGGCAGATACAAAATGCCCGTTTTTTGCATTGCTTGGTTTCTTCAGGTTAACCTTTTGTCTGGGCCTTTTTCACATCAAAAGCTGATATGGAGTTCCCAATTTTGCAGAAAGTCCAGGCTAAAATAAACAACTGCTATAAAACTGAAAATTAGTGTAACACTAAGACAATATATTTTGATGATACACTAGGTCCTGTTTGTTCAAAAAACTGTATTCACATAAATAGGAAAACTCTAAAATTGTAAAGCAAACATTTTTAGAAGATTAAAAGTAAACATTTTAGAATATTCATGTTTATTAGAACCTTGGCACATTTTTGTTGAATCATTTGAACCAATACTTGAAGTTGTTGATAACTGTGATGAAAATAACTGTAAATGACAGGACAGTAAAAGGAAAAAAGTGGTTGCTTTTAAGTCTAGAAATGAATTATGATCCTGCAGTTTTACATACACTGTACATGTATTAAGGCCTCGGGCATGTTATAACATACATTGTACACAAACAGATACATGTATACTTGAAGTATTGAAATTGTGATACTGATTAGCAGGTTTAATCACCCAGACATTACACTTTGCTTATTAATAAATTGATTTATTTTCGTTGGTTGTTGGTTGAGGATATTCAAGCTCATCTGAAATCTGAAATAAAATCTGTACAACCTGAAAACTTGCAGATGGTTGAACACATTTCTTTCTATCATGGGGCCACAAACTTGAATGGAGCACAAAAAGTGACATTAACCCTCACAAAATGCTGATTTAAATATGCTGAATTTGACACGAAATGGATACAGGACATTAGGACAGCTAACCCTTATATACATAAACTGGGGTTCACACAGACGAGCTGCACAGACTTCAGCACTATATACATGTACATGTATTTTGTAATATTTTCAATATTAAAGAGCAGGCTTGCACTATATAAGAACCCAATAAATTCGGCTAACGTAAACTACCAGGCCCCATTCTGTCCCTGACTACCGTGGTGGTAACATGGGCACAGGGCTCTTGAAGACACTTTGTGTTTGTAACATATTGAAGACAGATAAGGAATTTATGTACATGTACAGTCTGTTTTACAGAAAGAAGATAGCCTCACCTTACCCAGAATATAGTAATTACACCACTGTACTGTTTTGCCAAGGTTTGGTGGTGTTATAGATTGGCCGGCAGTTACTTGAACAGTTCTAACAGAGATCCAGTCTACATGTATACTAGTGCTGCTTTCTCATACTACCAAATTGACACCACAATTGCAACCCATATTTCTAGACTCATTTACTATCCAAGCTAATTCAGTTGTGAGGTTGCCATTTTAGATATCTATAATTAGAGGCTTTGATGAAATGTTGACAAGACAGTTTGAAAAATTGAAATTTGACCACAAAGTTGGTTTTCCAGAAACTGAAAGTTGCAGATAGTATTTTCTTGATTTATGTGACTCAGTTACAGCTATCCCGATCATTCTGCATGGTTTGATATTGTTAGTTTGAAAACCAGTATAGAAAAAACATTTGAATTTGTTCAAAAAGAGTGACAGTTATTATGCTAATCTGTCCCTGCCATTGTTTTCGGTGGCTGGACCGTCTAGGATGTTTATTAGTTTATGTGGTTATGGGGGTCAATTCACTATTCAAGCTGCTGGAGAAGCCACAGTGGGGAGTACTTCCTTATTGCGTCGCCCTGGGCACCGAATCCTCCAGTTTAACACCTATGTGCTATTTTGCATATTTGTCACCTAAGAGCATGTTGTTCTACACATTACAGTTTTGTTTCACGCATTTAAGACTTTTGTATTCACTTTTCATTTGGGGTCCATGACAATTGTGGACCCCAGTGGGATACTGTGTTGTATAATGACTAAATTTGTATTACACACGTAGCTTAAATGCTCTTAAGGACCCATTCTTATTTTTAGCTTCCCTAATATTCAAATTATTGATATAAAAACTCAAACAATACACTCACCAATGTTAACAGGATGAATTTCATTACTTTTACATGCTTGTCTAGTCTGAGTTTGTGGAAGATACTGAGTGACCACAGAAAGCCCCAGGCACAATACATTCTACTCTGGCTGAGTGCAGGACATTTCAAAGTGACCCTGACTGCTCAGATACATGTGTATAGCATACAGAGAAGCCAAGAAAGCATCAAAGGGAAAAGTATCACAGGCATATACACTCAAGCTACACCTGTACCAAATTTGAAGTCATTTACATGTAGCTTTTATATGATATCAGAGGGTACAGGAAAAAGTGTTGGGGTCCATGTGGATCACTTTTGCACAGATTGATTAGTCTAGGTAAAGACACTAAAGATAGAATGACAATGAAGTAACAATGTTTTGTACATACAGGAAACTAAACAAACTTGCTAAGTTGTCAATGTAGCATTCCAGAAAGTTTAAAGTCCCAAAAACCAAGTTCGGTTCGTTTGTTTACATCCTAGTTGAGCGTACTTGATCAATCTTCCTCTTGACTCCGTTCAGGTCCATTGTCAGCTCTGTGTGTTTCATCTTCAGATTCTCCAGTCGGAACTTCAGCCCGTCTCCTTCGTCCCTCCTCTCCTCGTAATCCCGCAACAGCGGCTCGTTTCCCAGCAGGCCTGACTTCTGCCGCAGCCGCATGTTGTCAATCCGCAGCGCGTCTCTGGCCTGCTTGGTTCTTGACAACACATCTCTTTTCTGGAATACAGAGAAGCCAAGAAAAGATGGTAGAGAACAATATGTACATGTATGAACAGCTTACCAATGAGAATTCTTCTGTGTTACAGAGGAAGCAACTGTTGCCTCTCAATCTTATGGAAGGTTTGCCTCCATATGAAGATGTACTTCAGACAACTTGGTAAAACCCAATTTTCCAGGTTTTTGGAGTGGCTGTACTTGGAACTGAACTTCTGGGGTTGTGTGACGTAATGGTTGGGTGTTTGGCTCAGAACCCACCGGTCCTGGGTTCAAATCCACCTACATGCATTGAATCTGTAATGTAATGCATGTGGGTGGACCTGCACTTAAACTGACTTTCCTCACTTCACTCACTGACAGGTGAAAATGTGTACTCATACCTGGCTTCAATTAGAGACGTCCCTCAGATAGGATGTTAAATGGAGGTCCCATGTTAGGGGAGAGACAGTCACACGCGTGTTAAAGAACCCACCACACCTTTCAAAAAAGAGTAGGGGCATGCCCAGTGTGCGATGGTACAAATACTACTACTAGTAGTACTGTCTGGAAGTTGAGGATTCACTACAAATCATCTGGATGCAGGCCTAGCAAATGCCCCTCTTGTATTAGCCACGTGGTGATTTACATCATCTGTGACCCTTGTGGACTCCAGAAAGAAAAGTGTGTTTAGGAGATCCTAGTAAAACAGACAAAACCAAAAACATTAAAGACCATCTTAAGCCTACCTTGGCAACAAGTTCCTCCACCTCTCGAAGCTTGCCTTTCTGCACATGGTTCTCTGCCTGCACAAACTGCAACTTTTCCTTCAGGTGTGTCAGGACCTGCACGGTGCTGGTGATCTTCTTCCGCAGCTTTAGGAGCTCCTGCAACCAGGTATGAAGGCAAGTTGCTTAAGGTAAGGTTTTGAGCAGGGTGGGGAAATATTGATAAATAGTGAGCTGTTTGACAGTGAATATTTTTGGGTAACCCTTTCATGAAATTGGTGTCCATCGTACAAGAGTATTAAGACTGCAGTAGGTAATATAAGGTTACCATTTTTAAGGGTCATGATGAAGCTACAAGAAGCCACAATGCTAATCATAAAACAATCCAAATTGAATGTACATATTGTATGTAATCGAGGTAGATTTTCATTGGTACTTTTCTCCTCACAAGCAGCCGTGATCAGCAAAAATCAGGTTCTCAAAAGTTTTGTCTTGGGTTGATAATGTTTTTCCTTGAAACTAGAAGAGCAATGTAGAAGCAAAAATCACTAATTTACCTCATTCCTCTCCTCTATCTTCTCATTGTAGGTTTGGTTTTCAATTTTAAGTTGTTCAAAATCGATGAGATGCAGCCCCTCGGCCAGCTCCTCCTTCTGTTTGAGCTGCAGTTCTCTTTTCTTCAGCTGGTTCTTCAGCTTGATGTTCTCCAGCCGCACTGCTGCAACCTCCTGCTCCTTCTTTGTTTCATTCACCTGGATTTGCTCAACGTCCTACAGAGATAATGTCAAAGTTTCACAACTTAGCTCTAACCAGGAGTGTATCAGGGCTAACACCCAGGCAACTAACCTACATTGTACCACTGTCTGATTGTCACCCCTTTTCTTCACCCTCCTTCCAAAGCAGAGGGTTTTAGAGTTAATCTCCAAGCAGATCTTATGGTGGCTGTGAAGACAGTATCATATTGGGCAAACAGTATCCATTTGCCAGGCAGTTACCATTTGACACCTGTTTGGCTGTATCACATAGTGTGAGAATACTTCTGTTTCTGTTGACATTGTACTGGGGACATTTGCAGATGAAACATATTTCATTTTCCACTGATTTTAGTTTTTATATTGTTAATAGCTTAAAATATTGGAGTTTTCTTTTTTTTTACACAACTAGGTGGCTCTTTTGCAGCAAGAAAACAATTCAAAATGTGGCAAAGTTTGTGTCCCCCCTTGTCCCTTTTAATCAAGTGCAACATACATTGGCAACAAACAGTACTCCAGTCAGAAGCTCTGAGGAAGGTGTCTGATACGTGATAGACATTGAATCATAAGCAAGGCGACAGCCTATACCAGCTGTGTAGAACTGAAAAACCCAATGTCCTATATATTATGTCATACCAGTCAGATGAAGTTATTTTGGGAAGAGAGGAAGCTTGTCTGACCTTGGGAGCGACAGGCTTGCCGGACCTGCTGTTGATGGCTGTCAGAGCGACCTCTCTCTTGAAGGCCTGATATCTCTCCCACTCCTCCACAGCCTTCCTCTCCTTGTCCTGCCGCCGCTCCAGCAGGTCCTCTATCTGCTGCTGGTACAGGTCCTGCTCCACTCCCTCCTGATGGTGCAGCTCCTCCAGGTTAGCTACACAAATACATGTACTCACAATTTCATTTATAATACCCGTATTGCAAACTGAAGGAAAAATTATCAGGCTATAGAGGTTCAATGGTATATCAGCATAATATTGCTTGAAAATTTTTGTTAACTACCAACTCTATGATATACCAGTAGTTTACATTGTATTTTTCAAATTGCATGTAAAATCTTGAAGTTATAAAAGTTACTCTTCAGACATCTTAAGTGCATAGAAGCCATTGTTATAGACAGTCATGCTATATCCAACTCCACTGTTACAATAACTGTTATGTCTTTGTAATAGCCCTAAGTTGGGCATCCCTCAGGCTGAGCGTGTTGAACAGCCAAATCAATAGATAAATAAATATTACATACACATATACTTGAGGTATCTCTGCTCCTGGTCTGTGACATTTTTGTCCATGTCTTGTCTGCTCTCATCAGTCTGGTCAGGACAACAGGGATAAAAATAAATCATTAGCTGTCTATACGTACTGGGCCCAGGCCAGTATTCTAGCTTGTGCTGAGGTGTAGGGTCCCTGATTGGTCAAGAACTGGCAGAATTGAATTTTCTTCTTAGCAGTTCACTGACAGGGTCAAGATCGTCACTGATGAACAATGTACAAAAATCATGCGACAGTATGTTCTTTAAAGGCATCCCTTGCAATTTCAGGGAGGCCGATTGATATTCTGAAACCTGTCTGATGTTGACTTTTACTGTCATTACTTGGCACATTTTCATCATTTAATACTAAGTCTTGGAGCATTAAGAATAGTTTTAAAACGGAGTCTTTTTTGGGGGGTACCACCAATAAACAGCTAGAACAAACAAACAATACAAAACAACCATTTTCCATCAGGGACATCACATTGGTGTCTCACAGAATTATCAGACGTTATGGGATAGTGTTACATTTTGTACCACATTAAAAGTATAACCAGAAAATTGGCTGTACATGTATATCCAGTTTTGTTGCACTGACATTGCACTGGATTCCTTTAAGAGGGCCTGCAAGGGGGGGTCCCAACAACGCTCTACGCTGAATTCGGAAACCTCTCGATTACGCTTTACGATAAATTCCAAGTGGCTGCAACGCATTACGTAGAATTAAAATGGCGAATACGCTCTACGCAAAATGCGAAGAGCGGTCCGTCTATGCTCTACGTAGAATTAAAACGGCCGATTACGCTCTACGGAAAAGGGCTTGCGGGCCCCCCTTTAAAGCAATCTGTACAACACTGCAAATCTGTCATGCTTGTAGTTAAGATATCAGAATACAAAACTGCAGCACTGCATAGTGAATATGTCTTGGTCAGTCTGCCTGCACAAGTACATGAGTTCACCATGTGCGTGGACACATACCTTTTTCTTCCTGAAGTACTCTGCTAGTTTGTTCTGCAACTGTGCATTCTGCTGGTGTAACCGCTCTCTCACAGCCAAGGCAGCCTGGGCACAAAACAAGTTCAGGATACTTGGAATGATAATACTTTGTTGGACTAAAATTACATTCAATTTTTAATTTTTACCTCCAAAGTGAATGGATGAGAGTATCTAGAAAATTTAGGGACGGTCACAAAATGAGTTTGTCATGTCACGCATGTATGTATATTGTGGGGTATAGTTTTGGTGTAACAAACATTAATTTTTTGTTTAGCACATGATCACCATAAGACTAGAAACCATTTCTTATTTACTATTGTATCATTTTGTTGGAAGTTACCAGATCTGGGTTTTTATGTGCATCTTTTTTTTTTAATTGCCTGCTGTAATCATCTAAAATGATACAATTTTTTCATAAATATTTTTTCTCTGTGATTGCTCACTCCCCTTCCTGTAGCTCTATCTGGAGGCCTACATGTATACCCGTGCTGAGGTGTAGACTTTACCTACCTGGTATTTTTCCACTAACTCATCTCTGTCAAACTCTGGTTCCAGTTCCTCCTCTTCCTCCTCCTCTTCATCCTCCATCTCTCCATCCTCCATCTCTCCCTCCATGTCTCTATCCTCCATCTCTCCCTCAAATGCAGGTGAGGCTGTACATGTAGTACAACACATAATGATTGTAGTTACTACTTATTGTTGTTTTTCTTCAAGTAATCTTTATGATTACTACGTTACTACTTGTTGTTTATCACACCAGTTCAGTTCACTTCATCCTTCTGGTGACACCATGTACTGTCTCCACAAGAGGACAGTTCAACACTGCCCAGACCTATGTCCTCCTCAACCACCTTATCACACCAGTGCTTGAAATCCTTTTTTCTGCACTGGTGCAGGTAACATAGAAAATAACCTACACCAGACAAATTTTAACCACAGCACTCAGAATTTAAGAAGCCTGGATTCAGAATGTGCAACACAGGCAGGCGGAACTTCCAACACAGCAAGGATCAGAATTATAAGTCAGGCCTGGACTTAAACTGTCAACAGAAGATCAAGTTCTCATTAACTATGATTATTATGGATAAACATGAATTATCAAAATTAATTGTCCCATTGTTACCCCAGCATTTTCATGCCCTGATGAAGGCTTCGAACTAAGTAATAAATTAAATGTAAAAATGTTAAAAGACTCTCCTATCTCCACAGTGGATGATGATGATGACTCCAACTTTGAGAGGTTGGAAATAACTACTGGTCACAGTGATCAGTATAATCCAGATGGGAATGTGATATTTGTTTGATAAATACATGTACTAGTAAGCTGTACTGTCATTGCATGTGATTAACAGGAAACAAGATGACAATCAAGGACTTTAATATGCACAATGTCATGTAGTCTGTAGCTAACCAAAACTTTTGCTGTAACAGTTATGCCCAAATATTTTGGGTTAGGGCACTGGCTCAAGTCCAAAGTTAGCCTGGAGCCCCATGTTATATAGCTGTGCTTACCTGGCTTCTCTGGTGTCCCTGGCTCCAGTGGTACTGGTGTCTCCACTACCTTCTGTTGGTCCACAGGACTCCCTTCTCTGGACAACTTCTCACTCACCAGCACAGGTGGCTCCTCAGCCTCACCTTCCACAAAGGTGTCACTCTGGGGAATCCATGGCAGGACATTACATTTACAACAACAAAAACTGGAGAATAAAACATCTCACAAATTTTAAAACTCAGAAAACACTGCAAACTTCCAAGAACCTGTGATGTACAGAATAGAACCAACCTGAGGTATGGGGGACTGGGCTTTCTTCTCAGCATCCTGAAAACAGAGGAAATTCAGATATTAGGGATTGTACATGTACGGTATGTCCTCTGTAAAAATGAAAGTGTCCCAGATGCTAAGGACCCTGTCCCTGGTCCCGTCCCAGTCCACAATCCTGTCCCAACACAGTTCAGCCTGTGTCAGATGGTTGGACGCCCGTCATAAAGATAGCAGATGTCTCCCTGTGTCCCTATCTGGCATACATGTAGGCACAGACACCTTGCAGAAACTGTTATTAATTGATACCCGCGACCCGCGTCTCTTATAAGGCTTAGTACATTTACCTCCTCTGCCTGTCCTTCTGCAGGTGGTGTTTGTGACTTCTCAGCAGCAGTTTCACCGTCAGCCTGCTGGGGTTCACCTGTCCCCTCAGCAGGGGCTGGAATATCAAACAGTAACAATTCCCAATCAGAACTAATTTAATGAGCTGACCACCATCCTCTATAGGAACAAATACAAAGTGACAAACTACAAAATCTAATGCTTGTGTTGGCCTGATTTCTAAAGTCATGAAGGTATAATATTGGACAGATAATGGCCCAGAGAGCTGATACTGTTATATGCATGACTGATTCATATTTAACCATTGCAATTTGATTCATGCCCTTATTTTTCTTGGAATGGGGTAAAGTGGATACAATAATTGCAAATAATTGAAACAATACTCAATAACTGGACTATTTAATAGATACACACATTCAAGAAGAAAGGCCAACAATCACACTGACATGAGAAAAGATGATATAATATAATTAATGTTGCACCTTCAGTAGGCTGGGCCTCTCCCTCTGTCTGCTCAGCTGTGGGTTCCTGTGCTGCTTCAGCTGCCTCCTGCCCCGTTCCTTCCCCAGCCTCACCAGCTGGTGCATCTGCCGCAGGTGCTGAATCTTCAGCTTCAGGTGCTGTAGTCTCTGTCCCATCTTCAGGTGCTGCAGTCTCTGTTCCAGGTTCAGGTGCTGTCTCTGCACCAGCCTCACCTGCAGCAGCAGCTGCTTCACCTGTGGTCACCCCCTCTTCTGCAGCAGGTGCTTCTTCTTCTTCTGCAGAAGTTGGTGCATCTTGACTTGGAAGTGTCTCTTCAGCAGGAGGTTCTAGATACATGGGAAGTCAGACTTAGTCATAGCCTAGAGCCCAGTCTATTGTAGTTTGGGCAGGCAATCTTCAGAACTGAAGATGATCCCTCTGCCCAGTTAAACTTAGTCTCCCCAGTAGGTCTCAGTTTTTGAACACAAAGATACATAGACATCAAATTTTAAATGACATCAGGATAAGTAATGACCAATCACTAAGGAAAGTTAATCCGCAAGTGTTACGGACACGTGACCTTACCTGCGCCTAAGTCTTGTGTGAATAAGGTCATGTGTCCGAAACGTTTGCAGAGCATGTTTGGAAGTGATTGGTCATTACTTATCCTGATGAAGGCAACAGTAGTCGTTGAAAATTTGTATCTATATTACTTTAAGTTGGAATGAAGTTTAGCATCTTACTATGATTACTACCTTGAACGCAGATGAACTTCCATGACAATTTGATATCAGCATGAAAGTTCATCTGAGTTGGTAAAATACTAAGTACATGAAGGAAATGAGGTTTCACAACATATCCATATTGAGTCTCCGGGCCATACTGTCTTACTGGAAGGGGTTAACATCTTGGACACAGAATGGGATTACTTTGTGAGAGGGGTGAAAGAAGCCATCTACATCAGGGCTTACCAACCTGCCCTCAACCAGGACAGGGGGCGGTACCCACTTCCGATGAACTCTGACCCGATGCTGATGTCACACGTGGTTGAAAAGTCACATGTCCACAGCACTTGGGTCATGAAGCTGATGAAGACTGAGCAATTCAGTTGGAAATTTCTGGTGTTGTTTTCATGTTTTGAGTTGGAGAACGGTTTAATTTCCTTCACAATTTGATTGTAATATTTAACAGACAGCCACCACAGACGCATACATGTAATTGCCAACTTCTGCCTGATCATGTCAAAAAACAGGATGAGTAAGGCAATTAGATCCCGGATCTTATTCCCTGGCAAATATCCTAATACCCGGTATCATTGCTTTATTCACGAGACAGAAGCATGCAAACAACAATTCTCAATCCCAAAATTATATATTGAAGAATAGTGATGCATACCTAAACCCAATTTTAGGTTCAGGTCCGGATTCAAGTCCAGAGGTTTAGGTTCAGTTCCGGACTTGTAAGTCCGGACCTAAACCCATGGCATATACAAAATTGAATGTTGGCAACCTTGCAATGTTGTCTTCGTGAAACTTAGCCACATAACATGGAGGCCGGTACTTGACAATGCCCGATGGCAATGTTTTCTTCATTTTGCAGCAAAGATTTTACAATCTACAGAAGGTTTTAGGTGGTTTGGAAAGAAAAGGGGTATGTGAAATGGTCTTTTATGGTAATAAGTCCGGACTCGGTTCTTGACTTTTAGGTTTTTTTGGACTTGAACCTAAACATTCTTACAAGTCCGGATCCAAATCCAGTGAACCGGTATGCATCACTATTGAAGAATGGATGGTATGGACCAATCCTAGTCCCATACCTACCTCGGTCAAAAGTACATAAAAATGCAGCCACTCTCTCATTGGTCAAACCACTAATTGTCATATTTATGTTTTCATTGGTTGAACAGAAATTGTGATGGACATTCAGGAAAGGTACATTTAGGCCGTGTTTATGTGAAGTCACCTAAGGCGCTTTACATGTGGTTTACCCCAAAGCCGGTTTCAAGTGGCTCCATCTGAAGGCTCCAATTCACATTGAAAGCGCCTCGATCCCAAACCACTTCTACAGGTGGTTTCGAATCGGTTTTCCCGCATCGCGTTTTGCCTCTGAACGCAATGTGATTTCAATGTGACTTCGCCTGGTCATGGATTAAGGGGTGATATTTCTTTATTTATATACAATACCAAAATTTACGTGGCAGCAACTTCAAGAGCAGTAATGGTCAGATATTGTGTCCATTCTAGGACAAGCTTCACCGCCTCTGGCGGGACCACATCGGCATTTGGCCGAGATACGTTGGGAGGGGGGCACTAGCAAGCAGGTCATTGACCTCTGACATTGATAACACACCACCTTGCGTGTTTTCATCCAATAGCAGTTTCGGAGAATCGTGATCGGGCATGTTTTAAAAGGAATGTATGGTACGTGGACCAGATGTGAGGAATGTGAGTTACCCGATTCGCGTTTGGGTGACTTCACATAAACATGGCCTTAGTTCTTACCATCAGCATTACCTGGAGCATCTGCTGCTTCCTGGGCAGTGTCTTCTGTAGCTGCCGGAGTTTCTGCTGCCACTGCAACTTCCTACAGCACACAGGGAACATGCAATCAGAGATGGCACACTTCATCCCCTTACCCATGCTGCTAATTAAAATTGTATGGTAATCAAATTATTATCTACAATAATGTACATTGGAAAATTACAGAAACACTGAGAGTGTTTAGACCAAGAAATAGGATTTAGACAATGTAAGCCTGAGTGCGAAATCAATTACATGTACATTTTGTAGCTCATCAGAGCAATTGAAATTCTTTCAATCTTCTGGTGAAGTCCTTTTTGTTTCATCCGTTGGGAGTTGTTTTTATTTCAAAGTGTTCTAATGATATCTAATCATTATAACAAATTAATGCCTTTCTGTAAATTACCATCCTTACTGCTTCACTCAATATAGAGAAAATGCTACCTATTTTGGTACCTTTTTTCAATGAACTGATTAAACCCAAATTTATCATACACACTGTCCATTATTAAAACTTGACAAATTCTTGTGTAATCACTATCATTTGAGAATTTTTGATTCATGACGATAATTAGGAGCTAGACCTAGGTATGCGATTTGGAGAAATTCGAAGGTCGCGTTTCACCATATCGCATGTCGATTTTGGCCACCTCAGAGCGCAAACGCGCAGATCGCCCTATGTGTTCGATTTTGTCCACCTGAGAGTGAAAACGCGAAGATCGCCATATGGGCGGCGCATGCCATCATTGATGTGCGAATTTGTCCCCCTGAAGACGGAAACGCGCAGATCGCGATCTGTGCGAAACTCTCCACCCAAGAGCCGGAACGCGCACTACCTGCGGCGCCACTAACAGCAGGGCCAACCGCCAGAAGTCGGCCCGCCGCCGAGCCCACCCGAGTGCAGGCTCCCATGTGGGCTGTGACGCTGTAATCAGCGTGACGACCCCTGGTTTTACAACATATACAACACGGCATCATGAAGTATATAGTAACCTACTTGGTCTTTGTGAAAATATTTGTTTCTGTGTATTTTTAAACCTGGTTTGCACGAACGGAGCACCGGCCAGAGCGCCTGTCCGGCTCGTCGGTAAAAAAAGCAAACAATATACATGTAGTAGACTAAGTGTTCTTCGGTTATAACTGTATATTCCACAGACACTTGTAGACATATCTTTCTGGTAGCTTTTGAAAGGACATTTGGTAATTTTTTTATAAGTGTCTGTGCAGTATTTTTTCAGCTAGAATCCCACCGGTCGACGCGGTCAAGACGGCAAAAGGTAAGTGATCGCAGTAGCCAGGGGAGATCATCGGGCACACAGCGCCGTGGAAAAGGTTTGCATTACACATAGCTATGTACAGAGAATAAATATTTCCTAAATTATCGTCACCTTTTACTTAAATAGAAGTTTACCAAAAAACAGAGAATGATTTGTCTGTAGTTAATTTGTCTTATTCGTAGAACAAACTTATAGCCATTTTGAATATTGTAAAATGTCGGCGTATGAACCGACAAAGAAAACGTTGATAGTGCGGTAAAGTCTTTGATTTTCATGTCCTCCGTTCGAAAATTCTTTGACATTGCCCACTATGCATAATTTTCAGACAGTGTCAGACTAGTTAGGTTAAGCCTTTTCTTCTTAATAAAACTCTCTACTCACCAACACAATGCGATCAAGTAACCTGTTCGGTGGGAAAGCACTCCGCCGACGTGGGAAATTTCAATATGAACACATTAACCGCACCAAACAATAACACCTTTGCCTAACAATAAAGTGCGTGGCGTTGTCCACCAGATGTCCTAAGAAAACAACAGTAATATTTCGTAAGGTGCGACAGTCAATAATATGATAGAAATGTCCACATACGGTGACTTCTAGCCAATCATTGATAGTCTACCTGTTGCAAAATTCTTCGGACTAGCTCAGCCACTCGCATCAGCACTAGCCAACATCAAACGGCTGGTGCATGACCAAGGGTGAAGAATCAAGAACTTGACCGTACGCTAATGGAGTGGTTGGACCTTCAGCGGAAGGAAGGGATCGCTGTCAATTAATTCCAAAAGCAGTTGTCAGTTACACGCCCCGCAGGCGTGCACACACCAACACAAGCATTTCTTTCATTGGGGAACTGTCTTGTAGCTATATCATATTTCAATACATCCTATGATCAGTTGGGGTTGTTGTAAAAATGATAATGAAAATATAGGTTATTGTAGCATGATCGATATTCCTCTGCAACAATAATTTTCAAATTTGTTTGACCGGCAACGTACACATATTTGTTCTATGAAATGAATCCAACTCGCTGTAGAGGTGAGATTGGCAGGAAACGCGATGCATTCTGGGGCGTTCCTTCAGAGGACAATGACCCCTTGTTTTTAAATGCGTGCGTCACCCCATACAGGCTCGGCGTCTTTTAGACAAATTATCAAAGGAAATTTAAATTTTTCAACATATAAATTTGGATAGACTTTAAGATCCTTCTAAATTTTGCGATCAATCTAAACAAACAAAACAAACCAGAAGTTTACTGGAACGCAGGTTGTGAATTTCATGTTTACAAAAAAATCTGAAGACATACACAAAACACAAAACAACCTACTTCCTGTTGTTGCATATATGTATGCTACCTGTTCTTGGTCGAAGAACTTCCTTGGTGCCTGCGGTAAGCCCCTGAGTGCTATCAGTGGGTTCTTCGGGCCAGGACAGCCCAACTTACTGGCAACATGTGGACCGTAGGTTGATCGGCGCGGTCAGCATCGCCCAGTCAGCTTACCAGTACTTGTAATATTTCGTAGTTTAGACGGGCCAGTCTTTACACTCTCGCCAACGTTAACGTTACAATTTCACGGCATACTACAGGCGTCATTCCTACCGGAAGATTCCACTCTACTCAGTCTCTAGACGTACTCTTTAGTAAATCTGTCCCCGAGTCTACCTCGGTGTTTTCGGTGATTTATGACAAGTTTCTCAAGGAATAGTCCTCCCGGGCCCAGTGTAGGGAAAGAAGGCAGTTAACTTACCGGTACTGATTAACCTTACCAAACTGCCAATTTCAACCAAAATGCGGGTATATTTGTATTTGGTCTGAAAAAAGTCCCAGCGCAAACCTTGTCATGTATAGAATAACGTCTGGCTCCGGCCGCGATATTTTGCGCCGCGGTTTTTGACTGAATCCTCTTTTATATTAATATACTGTATATGAACAGTATGTACAAATAATTTCTCGCTACCTTGATTTTTACCGCAAAGTCGCCAAGCCGATACCACAATGGATGACGGGATAGCGTCACAACATCATCGTCGCCATCTTGTTATTTTGGTAGAGAGGGAAGTTATGGCGATTGTCGTAAATCCCCGTGTAGATGTTAGCATTATATTGGAGGGCCACCTTATTCTAGCACGCAATAATACTTAGTATATAGCGTTACACTTTAATCATCGTTATTGCACATTCTTGCCCAGATGGGCCAAGTTATAGCCCGGTATATAACCGCCGGTAAAGAATACTTTGCTCCGATATTTGCTTCGAGCAGTTGACCAACTCGCACATGCTTTTCGGCGACCCTACTTATTCATAACTTCGCCATTTAGATGGCCCCACCATCACGCTTTCGTCAACGTTGTAATTTTACTGTACACCCCGCAATATCATTCAGAAATCTTTGAAATACATAGTAGATATGGCACCGACTCTACGTGGATATTATCGGTGATTCAGTGTTTCTCAACGAAAACTCCTCTCGGTCCTGTTGAAGACTCTGTGAGTGGAGGAAAGAAAGCAACAAGTTAACTTTCTGACTAATACTAAGACAGTTTTAATCAAACGTTGGCATTTGGTCTAACTATAAAATCCCCAGTGTAAATATATGATGTTTAAAATTCACATCATCAGGCCACACCACATTTCGGCAGGCTCATTTCGGAGCATTTCCCGTACGTGCGGTCCCATCTCGGCGATCTTCGAGTTCCCGCCTTCAAGCGGAGAAATTCGCACACACATGACCTCCCTGCCCTTCATTTCGGCGATCTGCGCGTTGCTGCTCTCAGGTGGCCAAAATCGCACACACGGCCGATCTGCGCGTCACCGCGCTCCGGTGGCCAAAATCGACATGCGATATGGTGAAACGCGACGTTCGAGTTTCTCCAAATCGCATACTAAAGCCTACCTGTAATTAGGGCACTTGAATTCAGCAAATAATTACACTGGGGCACAAGATCGACATGGTCGGTATCATGCCTCACCTTAAAGTACAGCGATCATCAACAAGCAACAGATACATTACATATAATAGTAGAGGTATAATTAATGGTGCTATGACGTAAACTTGCAGTTTGTTTATAATTTATTACCACGACAAGTCAAAATTTGGAAAATATGGTGATAATTAGAACCCGGGATGTTACAGAGCATTTCTGGGTAGTGCATTGTGGGCACACACAGATTCTCTAATAACAAATCTACTTCTAGATACACGCAAGCTCATGATCAAATCAACTGTTGCATGTTGAAAACCTTCGGATTTAAACATTCTTTGATGATCTACACTAGGAAGATCACGTCTAGCGAACAATTGCTATACAGCATGCAGCTGCTACATGCAGGATAACACAGTAGGCCAGCAGAAACTCAACATGGCAACAAAGAGAGGAGAAAATCCTTGAACTAGCGAACAGTAACGTTACACCAAGGGAAACTCCTTGGTTACACCATTTTCCAACCTTTAAATTTGTTTTAAAATGTTAGCCAGCCTTCACCGCTACTGGAAAACAGACTGCCAACAACCAATTTCTGCCCTACTCTAAAGGTTATTTAAGAGGCGATGGATCAGCATCTGTACACGCACTATAGCTTATTCTACTGTCCATTGAAAATTACGGGGCTATGCAGTAGGAAGGAAGAAAATTGTTATGTTTCCTCTCAATCTCACCTCCTGTTTTTCTTCGTCCGCCATGTTGGTTTACACACTCGTTGCCATGGTGCATGACCCCATAGCCTCCTTAATGACCGCAAAGAAGTCGTACCAACTCTAGTACTCAAATTACGCAAAAAAATCGAATTTCTACTTTAATCCTATCATACCAAACTTAGTTTCTAATGTTGATAAGAAGACACATCTTCTTTGATCTTCCCAGATTGATAGTATCAATAAATTAGTCGTCTCATTTTACACCATGTTAGCGGGATGACGTATTGGGGCTTGTGTTTTGGCGGGCTATGCGAACCTGTTTGGCGCCAGCTGACAGCTGAGTTCTCGGAAATTTCCGCTGCGTGTTTCCAGCTTCTTGTCTTCTCCAGCAAAAGTTGGTTGACGTTGCGTCTGGAACTTTATTCATACCTCTTATCCAAACACCCCCACATACTTCAAGTTAAAAGTAGGATGATGCTCGGAGCTGCAGCTATGCTCGAGAATGGACAAGACGTTTGCAACGTTGACTTGGTGACCAAACGGAGAAAGGGGCAGATCCAGGTATAACGTTAATTTTAAAACTTTTGTCACTTGCCAGGTTTGTGCAGGTAGGGAGGAGCTGCTAGGGAGGGAGGTGGAGGTTATTAGGGAAGGTGCATGGCTGAAATCATAATTGGAGAGACCAGGGCTGGGGAGGGGTGCCAGAGACCATAATTTGGGGAGGGGGGCATACCGAATATTTTCATAATTTGATTTAAAGTCTGTAGTTTTCAATTTTGCCCACTACTAATTTGCAGCCTGACTAGGAGGATATTTATTACCTTTGGTGAGCAGGCCCCGATAGAAAACTTACTGCAATAAAGCACCATGCTGTCTTTTTGTCGGCAGAGACATGTCCAAAGGTCATTGACCTCTTTTTACAAGCTAGTTAAGTTATATGAATTAGGCATGTTGATTTGATTATATGGAGGACATCCGCGTGCGCATGAGTTTTTGGCCGTTTTGGAAAAAAAAAAGTTTTCAACCATACTGTAAATCATACAAAAATGCGCAGACATATAGGTCGTAACTTGAAAAAAACATTTGAAAACGATACCAAAGTTGTAGAATGCCAAAGTCAAACAAAAAAGACGAAAATGTAAAGAAATGAATTTGAAGACTAGATTATTCGCCAAACCATACTCTGTGTCATTTGTTCAACCTTCAAAACCACGTAGATTTCATCATGAAAACAACTTTTTTTTTGCCAAACTTTTTTTATTCGCACGCTTGCTTCAGTTTTGGGGTTCTCAGAGGATGTCATCCATAATTTATAAATCAAATCAACATGGCCTTGTATGAATTAATATTGAGATTTGGGGCATGTTAGCAGATTTTTGTGTATGTCAACACCAATTTAATATAAGAAAAAACAAAGATACTAGTAACTTTATGTATTTTGAGAACCTGAACCTGAAATAACTACAAAGAAGTAAAATCCTAATGTATTTGAAGAATTTTTTTAGCCCATCCACTGCCACAGAAAGGCTGGACTACCATATTTTATCACCATCACACAAAATGACTTCACACACACACACACACACACACACACACACACACACACATACACACACACACACACATGCACACACACACACACACACACACACATGCACACACACACAATACCACAAAGCTAAATAAAGTTGGTCATACAGGCAAACTTGGCCTAAACAACTTATGACAATGAACATGAAGAAAATACATGTAACGAATCAAGCTGCAAGATTCTGCTTGAACAACTATGTAAGAGGTGCTAGTGTCACGGAAATGAAAAGGAACCTAGAGTGGACCTCACTGGAAGACAGAAGAAAGATGTCTAGACTATGCATGATGTACAAAATGACTAATAAACTGGTGGATGTCCCAACTACTAAGTACCTAATACCAGCCCAGAAAAAAACAAGAAATAGCCACGCATTCAAGTACCAGAGTTATCAACCAAGGATTGAGGTGTTCAAGAATTCATTCTTTCCTAGAACTATCGCAGAGTGGAACTCACTGTCACCAAGTACAGTAGGGGCATTGTCAATAGATAGCTTTAAACAATGTCTAGAGCTAGAAGTTCAAGGGTTAGGTGTAACAAGTCGATCGGTGTAATATAGCCAGCTGCCGCCGCACCGCGTGCCTGCGAAGCTGGTGTGTTACGCCGAAAGGCGGTTATACCGGCTATACAGATACAGATACAGAACGTTAGTCTTCTTCTAACATTACTTTATTAACACACATTTTCTATTTATACAGGTCATCTTTGGACCAATGTTCTCTGGAAAGACGTAAGTTTTTATGATTATTTTGTCCATAATTTGGTTCAACACTGCTCTGTTGAAACAATGCTACAATGTTTTCAGAGAGTTGTTTCTGGTTAACACATAACCAGTGTGCAGCAGTGTTCATAATCATATGTAAACTGTGTGGGACAAGTACAGAACATTAGCCTGGGTGCCATCTATTTTGTAACACTCCTGGTCTTAAGTTATTGCACCCTTTTTGGGCACAAAACGGATGGCTCCCAGGCTAGTAGAACAAGGTTTACATGAGCTTCAAGCCTTTAACATAGTTTTCTTAGTCTCATTAGCAGATTTTTATCTCTTAGATGCTGGAGCTTATCTGCTACCTTCAGCATGGCAAACTGAACTGAACATTGTTACATAATGATTACAACAAAATGATGCATTCTCAAAGATGACTTGCTGCTTTGTGATGAAGTGGCAAGGGTGCGGTCCCAGAATAACAAAATGCCACTCAAAATACCGATGGAGGTTGACACAGACAATGGCATTTACAAAGTCTGGGGAATTACGCCAAATCACAACATCACCATACCACAGCCAATCAAACTCGTGAAGCCAAATTGGCCAAAGATAGCTAAGAACTTCTTCAAGAAAGCAGCAGCAATGACATGAACTCTTCTAGTTCTACAATACCAAAAAACCACCTTAAGGTGATTGCTAAAGGTAAGTTTAGAAATCAAAACAGACGGTGCAGTATATAGGCGAAATAACACATCCTGAAAGAACCAATGTCGACACAGACATCAGCAACGGACCACGGCTCTGCGAACAACCAAGAACACGTCAGCACCAACATCATTCAACATTGGTTCTGTTGTCAGGACGTGTTTTTTACCCTGCCAAAAATGTCCGAGGGGGCTTCTAAAGTAAGTATCTAAAGGTAAGTTAAAGTAAAATCCAGACAGTGCAGTATATAGGAGAAATAACACATCCTGAAAGAACCAATGTCGACACAGACATCAGCAACGGACCACGGCTCTACAGAAGAACAAACAACCGTCATCAAGAACACATCAGCGCCGACAACAACAACATTGGTTCTGTTTTCAGGACGTGTTTTTTACCCTGCCAAAAATGTCTGAGGGGGCTTGGCTTCTAAAGGTAAGTATCTAAAGGTAAGTTAAAGTAAAATCCAGACGGTGCAGTATATAGGAGAAATAACACATCCTGAAAGAACCAATGTCGACACAGACATCAGCAACGGACCACGGCTCTACGGACAACCGTCACCGAGAACACATTAGTGCCGACATCATCAACATTGGTTCTGTTTTCAGGGTGTGTTTTTTACCCTGCCAAAATGTCCGAGGGGTTTTCTAAAGGTAAGTTCAAGTATCTAAAGGTAAGTTAAAGTAAAAATCAGACAATTAAGGAAGAATAAAAACACATCCCGAATGAACCCATATCGACATACAGATGAAACACCTGCTTTCAGGACGTGTTTTTTACCCTACCAAAAACAGCCATGAGGGGTTTTCTAAAGGTAAGTTCAAGTATCTAAAGGTAAGTTAAAGTAAAAATCATTAAGGAAGAATAAAAAACACATCCTGAATGAACCCATATCGACATACAGATGAAACACCTGCTTTCAGGACGTGTTTTTTACCCTACCAAAAACAGCCATGAGGGGGTTTCTAAAGGTAAGGAAAGGATGTTATATAAACAAACTGTACAAGGATTAGTTACTGTGTGTAGGATTTGTTATGCAGTTTACATGGGAGAGCCAGAAAGAACCTGTGGTACCAGACTGGAAGAACATGTAAGGAGGAGGCTAAAAACAATGGAGGAAGACGTTACACCAGAGTTGACAGAAGAAAAAAGGAGAGCAGAAACAAGTCGCAGTGACAGACCAAATCGCAAGAACCTGTGGTAGGATAATTCCTACATACGCTGGACAGAGGAAACCATTTGGATGAGAAAGTCCGCTCCAGTCATGAACAGAGACAAGTGGTTCTCTAGACTCCGTCACGCTTGGGACCGCATCAATTGTAATCATTACATAACAGTGACTTATGTACAGTTCAGGTTGCCCAGATGAATACAGCAGTTACATGTAAGCTGCTGTTAACTGAGGTCCAGTCATCAATGGCAATGTTTCTCTTGCAGGACTGAGCTTGTACGGAGGATTCAGCGATACAAATTAGCCAAACAGAGTTGTGTCCTGATAAAATATGCCCGAGACAACCGGTACGACAAAGATGGCATAGCCACTCACGACAGGTGGGACTGAGGTAGCTGACTCTTACTTAGATAAGTTAGGGTAGCTGCTATTCTGGCTAAATTCTTAAGCTTGAGCATGTACAGTACAGATCTCGATTAACTTACCTTCCCGTGTGTTTTATACATGGTTTTCTCTTATTTATTTCTCGTGTGCAATCCGTGTAAGTCACTTGTGCAGTAGCTGTGTAAACTACACACACTTTTCAGCTACATTCACATGTTGCTATCTGTAAAGCATAACCTCTCACGATTACATGAGCATGTACATGTACATGCGTTCAACATGCAGATTACAGGAGAAAGGCATGACTTTGTTTCACTGCTCTACATATAGATTGGTTCACAAATAGTTCAGTATGCTATGGTCAAATTAAACTTTGCCTTGTAAAAAGACAACCTGCTTGTATCTTCTGATGATCCATGTGTGATGTTTGCTTCATCCAGGCATGTGACTGCTGCTGTGGCGACCACCAAATTATACAATATCAAAGATGCCGTGATGCCTTCCCAGGTGATCGGGATTGATGAAGGCCAGTTTGTAAGTAAAGACAACATTCCAGGAAACATTACAACCAATATGCAAAACTCTCCTTTCCATCACAAGATTGGAGGACAATTTTTAAATTCAGTTTTGGACAGGGTGATTATGAAAAGATCCATTTTTTGTGTGGTATTCTTTTTGAGCTGGTTTATACATTACTTTGGAATGTTCCACTTTTGCACAAGGGTGAGTTTGGAACAGTCCATTTGTGCATGGAAGATGGCTGTATTTGTTCCTGAGAAAATACAGACCTTCCTGGTGTTGGTTGTTATATAGAAATTATGCAACTTAGGCTAAATGCTGTCAGGGTGTTCTCTCTTGTTACTTTTTCTATCATTTATGTACTTTTTATGTAGGGTCATGTTATATTAGATATTTTGCATCTTTCCCAAGTTGTAATGTAAGATGCGGTTCAGAAGATCTATGTTTGACAACCTGACTACTTTGGTTGCATACAGTTTTAATATTTATCTCTGTTGCTGAAGTTCCCAGATGTTGTTCCTTTCTGTGATGAAATGGCAAATCAAGGCAAGACTGTTATTGTGGCTGCTCTGGATGGAACCTTTCAAAAAAAGGTAATGTTATACTGAGTACATGTTTATATGTACTCTACATGCAACTCCAGCTTCTCTTCACTGAAGGGTATACATTTTGTAATCATCAACTCTTTTCACGCAAAAGCATGGTAGAATGCACCATATAGAATCCCCATCCCTTGGTTTAGGAAACTGAAATGGAGCAAAGAGAATTTGGAGCTGTAAGGAAATTGAAGAGGGCATTTTATGTGATTCAGTAGTAGAACACTTTCAATGTCATAATGATATATAGCAGTGACACTTGTCCCTCCATTATACATGTACATGTATGCATTAGTTTTGTATACGTGAAAGGGAACTACTTTCCTTCCAGAAGGTGCTAGATACATGTAATTTACTGAGAAAAATGGACAAGTTTGGGTTATTGTTTGTAAAACTATATGTTATCAGTGGCGGTAGCTAGGTTCAGAAAAAAGAAAGATGTCAAATGATTTGTTCACAGTAATGATATGTTTGCAGTACAACTTTCGTGTGGCCATGAAAACCACAAATATAAAAGTACTGTGAAAAAATTTGTGGTGTCCCACCTTCAGATTTTTCCCCCAAAAAACAATCCTTGTGTTTATAATATACCGGTAGATTAAATCTGTCGAAAATGGTCTGAAATGATTTAGTAACTAATCATCCTAATGATAACCATAATATCCATGAATATGTGTTGTTTGTAACAGGGGTTTGGTGACATCCTGAACCTTGTTCCTCTGGCTGAGAGTGTCATCAAACTACAGGCAGTCTGTATGAGCTGCTACAACCAGGCATCATATACTAAAAGACTGGGACAGGAAACAAAGGTGGGACAGAAACACCAGATTTCTGCTTTTTTTTATACCAAATAAAGTTTCAGTCCCCCTGAGGACCTGGTTGGTCAAGGGACTAGGTAGGTACAATGTAGGTGTACAATAATTTCCTGTTTCAATAATTTCCTCCAAATTGTTTTATCACTCACAGTGTGGTACCTGGTAGATATTGAAGGTCATTTCTATGTCTGCACAATCATCCATAACTGTGTGTAAACATCTCATAGTACACCACTAACCAGACAGGCTAACCAGGAGTAACAATTGTCCATTGGATCTGCTCCAGGAAACTTGTAGAATGATGGTCAAATTATACACAGTTAAAAGCCAGACTTGGAGTCCATAGTGTTCTGGACACATAAGATCCAGCTACCATAGTTTAGTCATCTCCAAGAATGGAGAGTGAGAAGTGGCCTAGAAAGATCATTACACTGCATGTGGAAGGCCAAAACACTGTTGACCAAGGAAGGGATGGACTTGTACTTCCTCAACTTACACAGTGTGAACCCATCATAGCAAATTACTGGCTGCTATTCTGAGCCTCAGCAGTCTAACCCCCAGGAGAAGGGAAACAACTGACGATAAACTGGATAGTGAGAGCATGAGAACCATACACACCGGATTTAAAAAATGATGAGTTTAAAGGTTCTACTAGTGCAGCATCAGTAAGTTTCTGGTCCCTTGTCAGGACAGTGCTCTGGCGCAGGTAATAGTGAAAATTGCACTCTGACTTTAAGAATAAAGAATTGTTATACTAAAAACTGTCCAGAAACCTTCAACATTATTTCACTCAAATGCTTCAAAGGAAGTAACAGTGAATGCAGCCAATAAAAATCCACATATCCCTACTTTCGTGTACAAACATATATTGAAACAGTGCAGGTAGACATCAGAAATTCCTGCACAGCTGATTGCTTCAACTTTTCTTGCACCAAGGTGCATAATTATACATTTACAACAATTATTTCAAACCCTGACAACTTTATTTTGTCTTTTTCTTATTGTCAAGTAGTGGGTTTTATTTAGCCACTTTGCCTTTTTTTCAAATTTTTTGGAACATGTTTGGAACATACTCTTACATGTTACATGTATCAAGACTTAGTGAAGTGAACTGAACTTGTTTTTCAGAATACCACGGGACTGTAGTAGAATGTTCCATCGTTATATATTTTTGTATGTACTAAACTTTCTTTTCACTGACGAAGATTGCTGGATAGCAGCTGTCTGAAACTCTATTATCCCAGTTGTATCAATTATCTTTAGGCTACACCAATTTAATTTCTTGGTTAACAGATTTTTCTAGAAAAATAATGGAGCGGGCGGGCGAAAAAAAAAATACAACAGGCCTAAGCATCCTATTATGGCCCGAAAGGGTACGATAGGAGCCATGAAGTCAACACACCAGGCTGGTTCAAAATTTAGACAATGAATTCTGAACTTTTCATGATACCAATACATTGAAAGATGGAATAACTGTAAAACTAGGAAGAAAAGGACTGTTTTCAACTGTTCAGGGCAAAATATGAGCATTTTGTGTGGCCTTATAACAAGATTATAAGAAGGATAGCATTATTAATAATACATTTGCTTTGCTTTCTAATATTAATAGAAACAATTGTTGTCTACCTGCAGGTTGAAGTGATAGGCGGGTGTGAGAAGTACATGGCTGTGTGTCGAGACTGCCACCAGCTGTCCCCCAGTAAGATAGTTCAGAAGGAACTTGTGGCCTCCGAGACACCTGCAGGAAGGGACAGACAGACTGGGAACAGTATGTGTCGCCAGCTGTTCCAGTCTGGGGATCAAGGGATTTGAGTTCTCATACATCTGATTCTGAAGTACTCTAAACTTAAGCCTTGTTCATGTGAAGTCACCCAAACCGCGATTCGGGTAACTCACATTCCTCACATCTGGTCCACGTGCCATACATTCCTTTTAAAACGTGCCTGATCACGATTCTCCGAAACTTCATTCATTGTTTGATGAAAACACGCAAGGTAGCGTGTCATTTATCATCATAGGTCAACGACCTGCTTGCTGATGCCCCCCTCCCAGCGTATCTCCGCCGAATGCCGACGTGGTCCCACCAGAGGCGGTGAAGCTTGTCCTAGAACGGACACATTATTTGACACTTACTCTTCTTAAGTTGCTGACAAGTAAAATTTGGTATTGTATATAAATAAAGAAATATCACCCCCGGCCCGTAATCCATGACCAAGTGAAATCACATTGAAATCACATTGCGTTCAGACGCAAATTGCGATGCGGGAAAACCGATTCGAAACCACCTCTAGAAGTGGCTTGGGATCAAGGCGCTTTCAATGTGATTTGGAGCGTTCAGATGGAGCCACTTGAAACCGGCTTCGGGGGAAACCACATGTAAAGCGCCTTCACTGACTTCACATGAACACGGCCTTAGTCTAATTGAATGTACATGTGAAACATTATTCATTACTTAAAAGAATTGATGCAACAAGAGACCTATATCAGATTTTAAATTTTGATGTAACAATCATATGATTTTGTTAGATATTATATATATATGCAAATTTTGATTATTTTACGCCATCAAAATCCTCTGATTAATTATAGTTATTAAAAGTCTGTGAGTATTCCAGCATCATTATGTGTACCTTTGTGAAGAAGTGTTGTATATAATTTGAATTAAGCTGGTCATCATCATAAATTTTGCAAATAAGTGCCTCATTTACATTATTGATGAAGAAATGCTACAATATGGTTCTTTGCTTAGGTACATGTAAGATTAAGATGCCTTGAACAAATAATGTTACTAGTACAGTGTATATACATTGTAGGTGGAGAGGATGATACTAGTAACTTACAATGTATGATACGCCAAAAAGCAGTTACTCAAGCAACTGGATATGATTTTGAAAATGTCAATTGTTGTTGTAGTATTTGTAGAATGCTTAACAGAGACCACAGCGCCAGGCATATCCATCAAAATTTTTGGATCACAAAAGTCATGGAAAATATAGATACAATGCTATACCTGACTTGACCCATATCATGATCAGGATCCCAGTTATGAAGTTTTTTGCGCCATCCCACGCACATCGGCTACACACAGCAAACTTAGTGGGAGTCCACGGATCATCCTTTTTACGGGCATGTCTGAAAGAAAAAGATGCATTGACATTCTCTTCTCAACCTGCCACAGTATTTTCAACAAAAATTAAAAAGATAAAAAAGAAAAATGACGTTTTCAAAATCATATCCAGTTGGTTGTCAATGAGTAACTGCTTTTTGGCGTATCGTATTACCTGGATGTCTAACCTTCATCGACATTCCTAGTAACTTATGATTTATGCACATTGAGGACTTTGCATGAAGCATCTATCATCTATCACTTGAGAAAATGAAGCATCTATCATCTATCACTTGAGAAAATTAACATCATTTGATAAAGGTTTGATATCATGGACCTCTAGTTGTAATTAAATCTTTAACTTAATCCTAAGACTATAGCAATTGTATGTACCGTAGGTAGGACAATGTTGTATTGGACACAGTATTTATCTGTAGCCTTCAGGATGTTTGATGTGGGTATACGCTAGTGTAGTTATTGAAAAAGTTTCTTGACAGACTGCAGTTGATTTCTGTAGAGTGCCATTTAAAACATGACACGAAAATTTTTTATTTCATTTTTTGACATCCTATAGATTTCATCCTGAACCCAACAACATGTCCATTTTCTTTAGTGCACCCTACTTTATTTTTTACCACATTGAAAGGAGCCACTTTGTAGTCCTTACTTTAAGGCCAGAACAATTGCATTTATTGGATTTTGGAATCGCTGCTTACTCAAGAAAAGATGAAGGCTGCTTTTTCATACTAATGTAGTTTCAATTTATCTAAACCAGTATGGTACATATCATAATTGCCCTGTCACCTCTGGTCCATGACGATGATCATCAAAATTAGGCCACCGTAAGTAAATTTTATGGTTGACATCCTCCGCAGACTCCAAATATAATGCGAGCGGGTGAGAAAAAAAACAAGGCGGGCGAAAAAAAAAAAGATTCCTACATTTTCAAATTTTGACATCATAAACCTTGTTAAACAAGAAATGATACCTACATTGTGCTATACAATGTAAGTTTAGAGCCAACTATTACAAAAAAAAGTTTGAAAAAAAAAGTTTCAATCATAATGGATTTGATTCAGTGGGAACATCACATATACATATAAAAGGAATGAAATACATTGATATCACTGCATCAAAAACAAACAATAAAAATCAGAGCCTTGTCTTGTCTCCTCTCTTCATATTCATCTACCATCCACGTTCCGGCATGGCAACAGACATCTTTGCCTATTTTCGGCATGTTGACCACTGTCAGAGGGCAATAAAATTTTTTTCTAATCAGGCGAAAATTAATGCACGCTGATGTCATCCATAAAAATTACCTACTAGTTATACAATTTGCCTCTTAACAATCATAGGCTATGAAGAGAGCATTATGACTTTTTTTACTTCCTTGTAACCCAGGAACTATTCAGTGATTGTATGATTTACAATGTACATGTACAACAATATTGATATTCATGAATACACATGTTACAATGTATATACATGTTCTGATGAGGTTTTATTGAAAATATTCAAATTTATTTTGTCGTTTTACTCATGAATTGTCATTTCACACATAATTGTATATGAACTTTGTATATATAATCTTTTGAATGATTTACGTCAATGTACACAAACACTACAATTCAACCTTGTATGTCAAGGCTGTCAGTCATGATAATGCAGCTGTTTTTAATACAAATATTATATTTAATACAAATATTATATTTAATACAAATATTATATCATCTTGAGCAATGGGCAACATCGAGGAAAATGCAGCTCCATCCAGGGAAGTGCAAAGCTATGCACGTGTTTTTCACAAGAACTCCCCCTCCACTGCCGTCCTTATCCATTGCTGGTATACTGTTGGAAGAAGTGAAGGCAGTGAAACTCCTTGGTTTACACCTTCAGGCCGACCTAGGTTGGAATACTCATGTCGATCACGTTGTCAAACAAGGTAGCAGGAAGCTCTTCCTCCTTAAACAGCTCAAACAGTTTGACCTTTCTAGGGATGACCTACTTACCTGCTACAAAACGTTTGTCCGTCCGAGCTGTGAATACGCGGCGCCCACCTGGCATCCTGGTCTGACTACCAGACAGCGTCACAGGATCGAGTATATCCAGAAACGCGCGTGTCGGGTAATACTCGGGTCGGCTTATACTTCATACCCCGAGGCATGTACAACACTGAACTTACCTACGCTAGAAGACCGAAGGGTCCAACTTTGCCTGAACTTTGCTGTGAAAGTTCTCAGATCACAGGACTTCCAACACTGGCTACCGCCCAGGAGGGGCACCACCACTGAGCGCACCACTCGTTCCAGTAACAAACTGACTCTCACCAAATGTAGAACTGAGCGGTACAAACAGAGTAGCGTCCCATACATGACCTACCTCCTGAACAGTCACTGTTTGTCTTAGACACAGTACTTTATAGTCGTTGTAAATAATGATGTCGAAAAATGTGTTAATGCTTGTGTAATAAATGTAAATAAATGTGTAATGAATTTTCATGTACAACTGGACGTAATTCAGCCTTTGGCTGCAAAGTCCACGTTTTTTATGAATAAAACACCATTTGATTGATTTAAGCAATCTACTTCTTGGTGGTGATGTGGTGATCAGTAGAAATGTAGAACAGCCAAGTCTGTAAAGACTCCCTGTCACACATAGCCAACAAGAGTTCCACGATCTCATACCTTCGCCAAATGATGTTAACCCTTGCAGTTGAAGAATTATACAATTTTAATAATTGATTTTGCAAATAAGATCCTCATTTGCATGGGTTATATCAGTTGATCATATTCTCCACCCAATGACAGTCTTATCTTAACAAAAAGGCTATTATAGCACTTCCTCATAAATTATGCAAATGAGGTCATGATTTGAATAAATTATGTTTATTGATGTTTGCCTTCACTTAACTTCCAAATGTGGCAAGTATGAAATTCCCAGCAGTTACAACTATAAAATTATAAAGATTTTCCATTAATTATGCAAATTAGGTCTTCATTTACATAATCTATATCCTCAGATTTTTTTTTCATTCTCAATTACATTTAACAAGTGTTTCATAGTCCTATTATCGAACAATGCAGAGTTTTAGAATTTCCTCATTAATTATGCAAATTAGCTCCTGATTTGCATAATTATCATTTGATTATGTCAAGCATCACTTCAGCTACCTACATACCAAAAATCATGACATTCCGTCACCCGGTTCCTTAGTTATCATCCTTCGAAAAATTTTCAACAAATGCTCCTGCAGTTCCAGAACAAGCCGCTAGGGGGCCCAAACTTATGTCACTTCTTCCCTACTCCAAGAGCTATCTACCAACCAAAATTCGTGACCCTAGCATGTACAGATCGCGAGATATCAAAACCGGAAGTTCTGCTGCAGTACCAACAGAAGCCGCCAGGGGACCCAAAATCTAATCATTTCTAGCTCGCATGAAGACCTACTCACCTACCAAGTTTCATGACAATGCATACTAAGCTTCTTGAGTTATGCTGTTCACAGACAGACAGACAGACAGACAGACGGACAAACGCTACTGAAAACATAACCTTCTTGGCGAAGGTAAATATGGGCTCCCAAACACTGCACAACTTCCCCAACCATGGTTAGGCCACACAAATTTACTTTGTTGTTTCTCGGATTTTTTCAGAAAAAATCAGGAGCGACGGTGAAAAAAAAAAACAGGCCAAGGCACCCCGTGATAGCCGGGAATGTTACAATATGAGCCATGAAGTGAACATACCAGGCTGGTTTATAATTCATCATCATTCATCATCATCATCTTTTATAATTAAAAAACAATAGATTTTGAACTTTTAATGAAACA